AGTGTTGACAGGGCTTTCGCAAAAAATGTATTCAACACGAGTAGGTAAACGCGTCTTGTGCACCCCTCCACCTCCGGGACGTTCACTTGATGGTTTTTATCGATGTTTCAAAACGAATGAGAAGGGGGCGGCAAAATACAGGCGGCCCATGGGCGGCAAGTAGGTAAATCCGGCCCTGCCGTCGATATATTTTTTTCCGATCATTCAGAGAGTGTTGTTTGTTATTTGATCCAAAATATTTTCGCGGAAAAATATGCATAATGGACCACTAGACAAGGTACGAATTTCAGCCTTCTGATATATGTTTCATGATCAAAATTTCACGTAGAACACGATTCGCACAACGAAAATTACCGAAATCAACTCCTAACGAAGATATTTAATGATTCTTGATGCGTCAACTCAAACCACCCGCTCATGAAAACTCAATGCTCTACGTGATTCACATCGAGCGCTAAACGTTTATCATGACAGTCTCTTCGATACAAAAATCTGGCAACCTCAATCATGACGCTTTGGCTCAGCTATAGAAAATTGCTTATAGTCTGAACAACACATGACGGGAAATGAACATTGCTCGATAGAGAAGATTGCCGAAACCGTTGTAGTGTGCGATTTGACTCACGTGGAGCTTTGAGTTTCTTGTGAGCGAGCAGTTCAAATTCCTCGTTACCAATGTGAAATAAAAACGTTATATTAATATCTTCGTTAGGAGTTGGTTTTAGTGATTTCCACTGCGCGAGTCGTGTTTTACGTGAAATTCTGGTTAAGAAACACGTATCAGAATGCTTGAATTCGTACCTTGTCGAGTGGTTCATTTTCTTCAAAAGTAAATAGTTTTGAAAGGCAATTTGGCAACATTTGAATGCTCATACGGCGTTTTTCTTTGACACGGCTCAACACCTAACGCGATTTCGATGCTTACAGGCGGAACGGCGCGGCGCGGCGCGGCTCCGTCGTGCGTTGTGCGTCGCGTCGCGTCACGTCTCGTCTCACGTCACGCATCGCGGCGGGAGATGACGTCATCTCCGATGAGCGCTCTCGTTCTGGGGAATGACCTCAATATGTGACGTAGAGTCTCGACGTCGACGTCGGTCACTGCAGCTAGAGTACCTATATTGAGAGAGCATGGCCACTGGGGTTACCACCTCTGATTGGCTAAGCCATCTTAGGCTAAATGGAGCCCTTTAGAGTACCTATATAGCGAGAGTATGGACAGATCGCTTCATGGAGGGCTTAGGGCCCAAAAGTGCAGCCACCCTTCTAACCAACTTCTAGGGCACAAAATTTCACTGCCAGTCTGCACATTCCAATTCTAACCAAGAAGGCTAAGAATGTACATAAATGAGCGTTCTTCCGCAAAAATGAGTAAATTTATGCAACAAGAAAGTCAAATACGTGCTTTATAGACGATGGTTCGTAACAATTGTATTAGTTAAGCGCTCTGGATAATTGAGATTCATAGGTTGGCTGCATTTCTGGGCCCTAACTTTATTCGCGGAGGCATCGGTGAAGGCCTGATGAATTTTCGGAGTCTTGCATCTGTCTATACTCTCGCTATACAGGTACTCTAGAACCCTTAGGACCCAAAATTGGCGGACGCCATAAATTAATGTAATGCAAAATGAATCAAAATGTAGTTTTCTTTGCTCATTGTAACGAGAAATTTACTCAAATGCACTATTGCGACATCTTTACATATTTTTAAGGCTAACCGTGTGCAATTTTTGAGAAAAATTATCTCAGATGTAGTAAGGTTGGCAGCAAGTGCGGTTGGTGAAAACCGTCAAAAGTTGGCGATGACCCCCCTCCCATCTACAAAAACCAAAACAAAGCACCGCCATTTTTGGGTCCTAAGCCTCTCCATGGGGCCCAGTGGCCATACTCTCTCAATATAGGTACTCTAACTGCAGCACCATCCCATCAGCATCAACGTGATCCCATGTCCCACCAGCACCAGCGTGCAGTAGCCAGCCCAGGGTTAGTTCTTCGAGTGAAATCAAAAGTACCCCTCATGCATGCTTGTCTGATGTATTGATAGACAAAGTTGAAAAAAATGTAAATCCGTTGTGGCTTTTAAAAATTTGTGTTTTATTTTTTTATAGAGAATCATCAAATAGCTTTTCAAAATTATCATTCAATATTTTTGAATGAAATTTAAGGGGGAAAAAATCACAGGAAGTTTTGAGAAAAAAGAGTTGGATGGTTCTCTTTTAAAATATGAAACATGAGCGGATATTTACAACATAAGGGGGGTCTGGGTGATCCCTACATTATGTAACGCGATTTTTCTGATGTTGAAACAAGTGACTTTAGCGCCATGTCAGTTCGCCTTCAACTTTTAGTATAGACAACATTGGCTCCCACGTGGTCAAATAGTAATAACACCGCGAAATAGCATGCGTTGCTTCACTCGGAGTCCACACGAAAAATAGCTTCTTACCGAACGAGATGAGGTGACTTTAACTTCATGTCAGTTCGACTTCAACTCTTAGTGTACCTAGGCAACATGGGATCGCGCGGGCGCGTGATCGAATAGTGGTATCATGAAATGGCACGATTTACTCAGAATACACATTAAAAAAAAATAGTTTTTGTCTGACGAGAGGGGTTCGTGAGGACAACATGGGCTCCCATGAATCCGAATATTGGTATCATCGAGAACTGGTACGATTTACTTGGAATACACACAAAAATAGTTTTTTTTTTTGACGCAAAGAGGTGACTTCAATGCCATGTCAGTTCGCCTTCAACTTTTAATGTAGGCAACACGGGCTCCCAGGTGGTCGAATAGTGGTATCACCGTAAGAGTAAAGCTTTCGTAAGGCTGTATAAGCCACTGGCAAGCACCTCTCTGCCGTACTAAGGAAGAACGCCGTATGAGCATCCAGTCGTTGCCAAATTTTCTTCCGTAAAATACGAATTTACTGGAAAAATTGTGTATATTTTCCCTCCAGTTTTTCAGACAATTTAAATCGTAATTTGATCAACAATATCTAAAAATTTCAAGGAAAAATATGCATAAGTTTCTTTAAAAATACATGTTTAATTCGTGGAAATTTGGCAACTCTCGAATACTCATTCGGCGCTCTTCCTAAGTGCGGCAGTACTAACTCCCGCTTCATTACTTCTTACTCAGAAAGCTCGTGATGCTCCAGTACACTTTGTACATTCATTAAATACGTAACACTCAAACTGGAGAGAGGGGGTCTTATAAGCCTGTGTTAAGGGCAGAAATGAAAAATTTTGTGGTACTTAAGAAAATGAAATTTCATTATGATTTTCCATGAAATTTTATCGTGACATTTCGTTAAATTTCATGAAATTTTCATTAAAAGCTCTGCAATGAACTCGGTATTCCATGAAACCCATTGAGACAGTAAAAATTCAATTTTGAAGTTTTGGATGGAAAAATCATGAATCATATTTGGAAGCTTCTCATCGAGTTCTCGAATAAATGTTGCGGGTTGCGCACGCAGTCCCTGAAAAATCCAGGGCCGGATTAAGGGAGTGGCCAAATGGGCCGCGGCCCATGGCGGTAAAATTAGGGGGCGGCAAATTTTGCAATTTTTTTTAAATGCAGGTACACAAAAGATCGGATTCAGAAAAAAATTACAAACAAGAAAAGGTGACAAAATCTCTAATGTCCTGAGAGTTCATTAATTTCTAATTTTGTCGTATTTCGGTGATACAAAAGACTGCGCACCTTTAATTAGTTGAGTTAAGAGAGAAACCAAACACGTAATTTGGCCTGGAGCGGCGCGGCGCAAAGAGATATGATGACGAGGACTTGAGATGAAAAGGAGAAGCCCTCGACGCGGCGGTCGGCATGTAACGCCTACGAGAGCGCCTACGTTAGCGCCTACGAGACTGCATGAATACTTCACGCATTGCGTCAAACGCAGTTACGGTCAACAGCGGTCGGCGCGGCGTGAAACGTACAGTGCCTACAAGACTACATGAATACTTCACGCATTGCGCCAAACACAGTGTGGTCAGCGCGGCACGGCGCGGCGGCGGAAGTTAAAATTATTAAACCACATTTATGTTTGTTCTTTCTTAATTTCTTAGTTCACTTCTTACAAATGAAAGGCCTTGTCCCCACAGAGATAGGTTTACGGAACTGAACTTTCGCGCGAAGTTCCGTGAACTTTTGCTGATAGCGCTGACAGGGCTTACGCAAAAAATGTGTCCAACACGAGTAGGTAAACGCGTCTTGTGCACCCCTCCACCTCCGGCACGTTCACTTTATGGTTTTTATTGGTGTTTCGAAATGGATGAGAAGAGGGCAGCAAAATACAGGCGGCCCATGGGCGGCAAGTAGGTAAATCCGGCCATGGAAAAATCATTAAAATTTCATGGAAAATTAAATTTAAGTTACTCCGTGAAAATTCATTTAAATCTCTAGTTGAAGGTGAAGGATGCTGTATTTTATCACATTTTTGTCGAATTAGTTATTTCTTTTTCCCTATTTATTATCACCAACCAAACCGTTACCGATTATTTCTTTTCCCTGTTTCTCCATATTTTATGATTTAAAAAAAATTCATAAACCACTTGTAATGCATTTATTTTCATTTATTTTTTTTATTATTTTTTTTTTATTTTTTTTTTACTTTTTATTGTCAGTTGTGCCTAAATTAATTTGATTACAAATAAAATTAGGAAAAAACTGTGCTTCATCAGTGATTTTTCTACCNGGGGGGGGGGGGGGGGGAGTGCGTAAAGGAAATTGATTCTTTGTTTAAGCAGATTAGAAACCTATGTTGCGGGAGGGGAGGGATAAAAATAATTCGACTTTCAAGAATCGTTCATTTGAGTTGGTGCGCATCCCGGTCCGATGGTGACTCGCTCGTCGCTCCTCCCACTATTCGTTCATGAGGATGTTGTTGAGAAACCCTCTAGAGAAACCAGTTCACAACCGGATGGGTGGTGGAATGGGGGCTCTGTGTTTATTTACATTTATCTGACGTAGCCTGATAACCTCAAAAGGGTGCAGTGCAAGGTGCAAGTGCAAGCAGAAGAAAAAGTAAAAAGATCAGCGTCTGGCCTGCAGTTGTAGATTTTTCCTTGTGATATTTTCTTTCCCTTACTCACTGAGTGTTTCCTACGTATTTTTAATGATTACGTGAAAGCATCAGCCTCTACCATATAAGGTAACAAGCTTTTTTCTCATACTTTGTACATATAATTTACCTATATGTCAGAAGAGTGGTCATTGCACTCTAAAATGTTTTTCATCAAATTATCTCTTCCTATCTCTCCGTTTATTTCCAGGAGTAGGTTGTGCTTGCACAGAAATATCTTATTTTTTAGGAACACCTGCCATACTTGGCTCCTACATAATCTGGAAAGGATTGCTTGGCTCTCAACTGAATGCAATTTTTCGATCGTACCAATCGACACATATAAAATTTACCTGATTATTTATCATAAATATAATGGATATAATGTGTACAACTGATGTCTGAGATGTTTGCTAGAGTCAAGTACTCCCAATTTTCAATAATCAAAATTGATGATAGGATGTCGTACTCTGTCAAATTCTTCATGCTGTACCCTTCGCTGACATTTTAATCGTATCAAGAATGAGCAGGTATATTCATTGAATATATAGTTAGGCAAGATAAATGAAAATGCTGCCAGAAAAGAGGAAAAAGTTATTCATGCTGAACTGACTTGCTCATTGGATTGAATTGGGTACAGACCTATGCTGGCAATCAGATTACTTACTCACTGTCCTGGTGTATTCCAGGTGTATTCCCGTCGATCAGTTAAAGTCCAATCGTAATAGTTGGTCCAGTTCTTGAGATGGTTCGTAATTATTCAGATAAATTGATATGTGTTCTGGAAAAAACTTAGCATTTACAAATTAAATATTCTACCTCTTCTTTATGAAAAAAATTATCAATTAACATATCCAAAAAGGTAGCACTCTGCCCAAATTAGTATTAGAACAAATGAAAAGTATGGAAAAGAAAAAAATAAGATTACCACTACGTATAAATTTGTTTCATATTGATGAAATCATGGAGAAAAATCATTCGATTTAAAATCCCAAAAGTTGCTGTTTTTTCTATCCGCCTGTTGAAGTCTCTCTGTGACTCAAATGAGGTGTTATGTTTCGGTACTCTCCAAGATATTGGGATCATGATATTCCTCTCTCAAATGTTCTTTGGGATTTTTACCAACGTTTCTCCTCAATCCAACTTTTGTTCCAGCCTGAATTTTATTGTTTACAAGTCACTACAGTTCACTCTAAATTATATGGCCAACTTTAAAATTCAATCTACCATCCGTAGCTGTAGTTTGAGTACTGTAGAAACGATATCCTTAGCAATGAATATAACAGATTCTCTGCCTCATTCTAAAAACCGTCTAATTTGCCTGATGAGGAACATGAGTGTAATGGTCTGCGGGGAAAAAGGGTAGTCCTTACACCAGCGAATGGTCAGCAAAAAAAGAGAATAAATAAAATTCTAGCTCCCACGTATCCCATGAATTGTTGCAATGAATGATTATTCAAGGACTTATCAACTGCTGCAGCATGTACTAGGTACTAACACCGTCTTTCAGATATTATTAGCCCACACAGGCACTCAGCCCCTTACTTATATGTAGCATGTTGTCCTTAGTGGTCAGGACGAAATGCGACGACAAACTCAACTTTCAATTTTTTGGCGGTGATACAAATAAGGATTCATTTCTAACTTGAAAAATATTTTTCATCTAGGTTGGCCGGAGATGAGAGTCACTCATATTCTCAACATTCTTGGTCTGTTCATTGGCAACATTTTTGAGATTTTAGCGGCCAAAAATGGGAAAATCAACCGACCACCACAGTTTGTCCCCGGCGGAGACATGGCCAGATTCTCTTTACCAGAAGATACACATGCTGGAACAGCAGTCTACAAGCTTCTTGCCTCGGACCCAGAGAGCACCACTCTACATTTCAGTATTAGTGGAGAGTATTTTAGTGTCGATAGGAATACAGGTGTCGTGACTCTTTTAAAACCGCTGGACAGAGAGGAAGTCGATTCGCTGGAAGTTATTATCAGTGTTACAGGTAAGACTAGTATACTTTTAGGAAAATTGGCAGTAGGGATCTCCACTATCAACTGAAAAATATTGAAAAATTATAAATTTAATGTGTGATATATATCGTCACCTTCCGGCCAAAGTATCATAAGCACTATGTGACATTTAAAAATTTCCGCTGCCATTTTATTTTATTTTTTACAGAGAAATTGTTGGTTGAATCGGTCCGAAAATTTCACTGAATTTTATTCGTGCTGCCAATAAAATTCAGTGAAATTTTCAAACAGATTCAACTAACACTTTCTCTGTAAAAAAATAAAATGGCAGCGGAATTTTTTAAACGTTGCATGTTGCTTGTGATACTTTGGCCGAAAGGTGATGATATAGCCTCAATGTCCAACAGTTCCTCTGACTTTAAAACCTTAAGACTCTAGCTTTTTTAAATTAAATGTTTTTGAAAGTCTCTAACTGAGCAATGGTAATCAGTGTGTCCTCTGAAATAATTATCCCTATGCCTACTATCAAAAGTCATGGACTCCAACACAGAGCCCAAAAAATGTACAACAGAATAATTCCCTATAACAAATTCACTTAATTTTGGTTCATCAAGATTGAAATTGTGCAGGAAACAACAGGAACACCATAAGAATAGTCGGGAAAAAGCTGTGAACTTTCTTAAAAACAAGGAAACTGCATTGGTTACAATTTGGAGTTATTTCTTAAAATTGCTTATTTTATCTCAAAACCTTGCCCAAATTTATCTTTGCAGTGATTGGCCTTAACAGAAATAATGGGTAATTTTATGACTTTCACATTCGTGCGCAGACATATTTTTTTCTGTCGAGCAAGATCCCATAAAAATGAGAATGACAGACACCAAAGTGTTCAGAAACACTCCGCCACTCCTTACAAGAGAACTTCAATGTACTTCCTCTTCTTTTAGTTTTATAATTTTGGAACTCTGTTAATTCTTTTGATTGGTCAAAAAGCAACATGCTTTTGACCAATCAGAAGCCTTGATTTTGTCTTGTGACTTTCATCGCGGATATTCGCGGTTTTACCAGAACTCGCAGATTTCAGCGTCCATTCGTTGATACTTGAGCTTAATCGCGATAATAGATCATTCACAGTTATCAACGGATCCGCGGATATTCGCGGTTTAACGGATCCGCGGATATTCGCAGTTTTACTAGAACTCGCAGATTTCGGCCTCCACTCGTTGATACTTGAGTTTAATCACGATAATAGATCATTCACAGATTTTTACGGATCCGCGGATATTCGCGTGTGATTGCGATTTTCGCGGATGCTCAAGGATGAGCACTTATTTTCACGCGTATTTGAGCTTTAGCACGAATTTTCGCAGAATATTCGCAGTTTTACTAGAAATCGCAGATTTCGGCCTCCACTCGTCGATACTTGAGCTTAATCACGATAATAGATCATCCACAATTTTACGGATCCGCGGATATTCGCGTGCGATTTTCGCGGATACTCAAGGATGAGCACTTATTTTCACGCGTATTTGAGCTTTAGCACGAATTTCCGCGGGTGCTGAGGGCTTTCGCTTTTTATGAGGATTTTCACGAACACTCGCGTTTATTCGCGGATATTCGCGAACAGAGCCAAAAAGAGCGCGCCGAAGTTATGCGTTTTCTTAGAGCTTTTGGGTTTTCGCGAGCGCTCGGAGGGTCGGATTGCATGACATCAAGACGTAGCCCGGTGAGCTTTCGTTTATGTGCGCCCTATGAGCCCTCTCCCCCTCCTTCAGTGACGCCCCTTTGCCTTGCGCCCCCAGGGCCCATAAGCTCGCGGTTAAGCCCAATTCACACCATCAAACTTTTCATCCGACATGATTGAATGAAAAGTTGGATGGAAAGTTAGACGCAAAAAATTTGATTTAATTACCATTGCAGTGTGACATCGTCATCAGCATGCGGTTCGCGGAGATACAGCTTCGGCTCATGTGGGTCGGAAGATTTCGTTCAACTTTCCATCGTGGATGGGAAATTGAACGAAAAGTTGAATATGACGTTACATTCCAGTTTCCGTTCAATTTTTCATCAAATTGTCGCTTGCTCTCGTTAGTATCACTCTATCCAACTCTCCAAGTTGCATCCTACAGTTGAATGAAAAGTTTGATAGTGTGAATTGGGCTTTATCCAGCGAACTTTCGTACTCTCGCGGGCAGGGACATGCGCCAGTGCGCGAGTAAATCGTGTCCGAGGCCCAAAGTTTCCCCAATAAAGTCAAACACCGGGAGCAGGAAAGTTCTTGGTCGTCATCGGGAAATTTCTCGGGGAATATTGGGAGAGTTCTCGGGAAGTATCGACAGGGTGTCTAAGTACCGTCCATAAAAACCGGAAAATAACTGGAAATTCGATGTTGTGTGGTAAATCGGTCTTTGATCAGAAAATTCTGAGCGCTGCAAGTATTTTTCAAACAATTGATTCTATCCATTAAATATGGTGTTTTTTTAAATCAAACTAGTATCACTCTACACTGGAAAAAAAACACATTGGATCTAGAGTCCAGACTTTTGAAAACATTGACAAGAAAAAGGACTCTTGATTCTATCAGATTTAAGCTTAAATCAAGAACCAAGCCTCTTAATTTGAGCGGATTTCCTTTTGATTTACGCTTAAATCTGATTGAATCAAGAGTCCTTTTTCTTGTCAATGTTTTCAAGACTCTGGACTCTAGATCCAATGTGTTTTTTTTCCAGTGTATTTGCACGAAAACTCAAGGAATCTCGTCTAAAATATCATGAAAATCTGAAATTAAATTTTAGTAGACACCCTGATCGAGAAAGCTCTCGGGAACCATCGCAAAAGCTCCCGAGAACGTCCCCGGGATCTTCAAAGTGTGAGGGATTACCGGTTATACGTGCAAGTGTTCTCCGTCGAAGTTTTTCGGGAGATCCGAAGTCGAGCTCATAACTCCTTCTAAGTCTCGATTTCTCCATGCAGTGGCAATTTTTATCACGAGTCATACCAAATGGCAACGGCAAGGCCGCACCATGGGGGCAATTTTCGGACTATAGAGACAGTCCAAATATTAGTCCAACGGATGAGCATGCGTGTTAAAAGCCCATGCAGGGAACGGTCACCTCGGGTGCCCCGTCGCTCTAATTGATTTGACAAGCTCGTTCTCAAGTGCAGTCACCAATTTTCCGCCTAATAGCAATCGCGCGGACCGTGTTGCTTAGCAGGTGAAATAACGTGCGATTTCCGGGAATGATTTTCGGTGTATTTGCTCGGTTTGGCATCGTGGCACACGGACATTCTCCTTCCGCGTTGACCAGTAGCGTGGTGTGCTTCGCGATATATCGATGTATCTGCCATTTAAACCTATGGAGAAGGATCGATTGACAGTGTGTTTGCAACTAACAGTTTAGTAATCGATTCTTTACCATAGCTTTAGATGGGGAAATATCGATTATCGACCATTCGCGCCTCGCCGCTGGCGTTGACGTGAGCTTCCACGCTTTGGTTGTCCGCCAACCCCGCCATCCGTGAAATTGTCCCGTGTAACAGTTTAATATCCTGTGTCATAACGCTGATGGACCATCTCCAATATCTATTGTGTCCACTTTGTCAGCGAAATGTTGTTAATTGCCAGGGGGGATCGTATCTTTTTGCTACCGTGCAGGCTGAAGAAAAAACACCGTATGGCCGTACGAACGTTGCCAAATTCGCCCCCCCTCCATAAAATAATTATTTTATTGGAAAGTTAGGAGTAGCATTCAATAAAATGTTTAGAAGATTACATTTTGAATAAAATTATTTGAAAAATTGGAAGAAAAATATCCCTAAGTTCTCTTAAAAATTCGTCTTTTTATCAATGCAAATGTAATTTTGGCAACGTCTGAAGGCTCTTACGACGTTCTTCCTAAGCATAGTAGTTTTGGCAAACCGCATGATTACCTCCTCTCCCCAGTGTAGTGTGCCGTGCTGAGGAAGAACATCGTATGAGCGTTCAAATGTTGCCAAATTTCGCTCAATGAAATGACCATATTTTAGAAAATGTTTGTATCTATGCAGTTGAAATTTTTAGAAACTCTAGATTACATTGCGATTAAAATTTGTAGAAGAATTTGCTTTAGAAAATTTTCAAGTTCTCTAGGACATCTAAATTTAATCAGAAAAAATGTGGCAACCTCCGAAGACAAGATTTATTCAGCGTTTTTCCTAAGTAGGCAGCAATCCACTCCCTCCACTGACCTCTCAAAAAATGTAGTGTCCTGTGCACCAGCACCCACACTTGCTCTCATATTTTGAATTCAGTCATTTTTTTTTTATTTAATTCTCAACCATCCTCCTCCTTTCTCTCTCGTCACTCTAATTAGGACACCCCTCTTCCCTCTCTCCCTTACTCTCGCTGTAGGTCCTTAGTCACTTCCTCTACTTTTTCTAGCAGTTTTTTTTCTCCCAATATCTCAATGTGTGGCATGAGATTTCTTTAACAATGACTTGCATTTTCTCGTGTACTCAATAATCTTTACCTATTGGAACTAAAAAAATTCTAATTCAAAGTTCCATTTCCTTTTATTTGTTTTTTATGTATGTTTAATAGCATTACTCATGTCGTATTATTGATGTATTACTGACAAATTTTTAATTTTTCCAGATGAACCAATAGGAGGTGCAGAGGCAAATACTGTGTCATTACGGAAAGAAATTCCTGTAATTGATGTAAATGACAACAAACCTGTGTTTCTCAATCGACCATACGTCTTCTCTGTCTCTGAAGTGACAAAAGTCGGCACGACATTGTTTTCCAACATCACCATCACGGACAAAGATCAAGGGCTGAACGCAGAAGTAGTTTTAAGTTGTGTTCAGAGCGATGCATGTCAATATTTCTCTCTCTCCACAGAGAAGGTATATTTTTGGAAATGCTTCTTCTATCTATGTTCACCAAATGACCAGCCAGTGGCTAATAAATGGGTGCAGAAACTTCTTAAATGCGCAACTGACAAGTCATATGCAAAAATGGGGTTTTAAAAATGGGAATTCAGGTTCTGAAAAGCACAAAAACCATACAGCACTAGCAAAATTGTATATGACTTTAAGGACACCTAATTTCCCGAGTTTAAATCAAGTACTGTGGAATTATTGCTTCTGTTGAATAGCTTAAGATATTCTGCGAATAGTGATTTATTTCTCTGAAAATATCAAAAACAACGTAGAAAATATAGCTAAAAACAATAAATTAAAAACAATTTCATACTGAGATGTTCTCAAGAATTTGTGGCATCTCCCAGCCTTAACTTGTCCTAAGTGCTTTCAATCCATTCCTCAGTGTAAATGAAGTGTTTCTTGAAATGAGGAAGATTGTATCTTGTGCATAATTTTTTCTGTTTTTTGTGTTTCATGGAAGGTTGGAGAAGGTGAGTTTATGGGAATTGTAACACTTGCGCAACCTCTGGACTTTGAAAAACAGTCAGCACATAGTTTGATGATAAGAGCAACTGATTCAAACCCCAAAAAGAGGTTATCATCAACAGCCAATATTGCAATCAATGTGTTAGATGTACAAGATCAACCTCCTGTTTTTGTAAATGCACCATATTCAGCCACCCTCAAAGAAAACACTCCAGAGGTTTGTACATATTTCAATACCAATGCATTTCAATTATATTTTAACTTAAAATTGTAAACTTAAACTATAGTGAATGAGTAAAATATAGAGCATCTTCTTCCTGGTTTTTTATCTGTTAAATATCATGCCATAAAATGCCTAAAATTTCAGTTTTTTCTTTTTTTTCATTAGTTCTAAGGAAAGCTTCTTCTATTTATTTTGGGAATGTTCCTGAGCTTTGTGAATTTGTAATTACTAGTGACATCTTAATGTAATACAAAGATGGAAAATTTACAAAGCAAAATATTGTAAAAAAAACCCTCTTTAAAAAATTAGCAAACCAGACCAAATATGAAATGTCAGTGTGGTAATTTGTACAAGAAAAATACATCAAAAGTACGAATTACCACTCTTCACCCCTTGGATCACAAATTTTTTACATGAAATTCTTGAGCTCTGATTATTAAAGTAACTTTTGACTTTAAACTGATTATTGACTTCTCTTAAAACTTTTTCATGTACAATTTTCAAACTCATAAAAAATACCAGTTTTTCCAGAGTTATTTTACAAGGGATTGCTCTACTGGTTTTTAGAAAAATGTCAACGCAAACAGGCATACTAATGCTGAAGGCATACTAATGCTGAAGGCATATTCCTGTCAGAGAGATTTTTCACATGTCTTCAACATCATACTTTTTTCTCCCCTCTCTATAATTGTTTTCAACTCCCCTTTTTTTCCCTCGCATAGTCGTCAAAATTTTCTTAGGAGTTGAACCAGGTAAGACGAATTCTCTGAACCAATCAAATATATTTCTCTTCCAAAAAATAATTAATGATCTTAATTTTCTCACTTATTTCATCTCATGAAAATTCCGAATGATTTTCCTGCCTCAACGTTTTTTTACAATTATGTATGCTCTTTTGGTAGGCTCAAGACGTTCTCACAGTCAAAGTTCAAGATGGAGACGCATCAAATCCAAGGCCAATCACCCTATCCATCGAGAATGATAATCTTCACTACTTCACCTTAGTAGAAGCGGAATCAGGTGTATTTGTCATTCAAACCAGTGAAATTCCCATCGATAGAGAACACCCAAGCATATTGGAAAATGGCGGTGTCTACACCTTTAATCTCAGGGTAAACGATTTTTCTTCTTTACCTAAGACTGGAAATAAACAAATTGATCAATTTATTTTACTAAAACAGCTGTTCAAGTGACCCATTAACACTAATGTTGGTCCTTAGTGCAAAAAGCTCTCTGTAATCTGTCCAAAACACGCATACAAAAAAAATTATTCATGAAGAAGAAAAAATTCATTGTTTGAATTTCGTAGCATCGTATTGTTTTGATTCTTGGAGGAAACTCATTCAATGGATATTCCTGAAAAATAATGTAATAATTTTGCTTTGTGTTTCCCTTTTTGATCCAAAGTTTTCCTGCAGTAGTTTGGTTTGCATATAGTCGCCAAATAATCTCAAAATTGTTGGACACTATTTTGTTATTTTATTTTAACTAAATATTAATTGAACTAAAATACAATCTCACTCATAAAATTAATGATTAACCCTGAACAATTTTTCAGGCAACTGAGCTCATCAACGGACTGTTGCCGAGTGATACTAGCGTTGAACCTGTAACAATTGTAGTGACAGATATAGATGATCAAAAACCTGTTTTCAACCAACAAAATTTTTACATCAATGTCTCAGAAAGCATAAGTAAGTTGCCCTCATAATTTTATTCTAAAGTTTGATGCGGTGTACCTGGTTTGTCTGGTGAAACTGTGTGCTTCAGGGCGAAAATCCTGATTCATCTATTCATTTCACACCTGCTTTTATAATAGCATTTTTCAAGGCTAGCACATGTCATAATAATGCACATTTAAATAGGTATCTAAGATAAGAAGGAAAAAAAAGTCTAAAAATGTGGCCCAAATACTGCAAGTAATAGGATGGTAGAATAGTGCTTGATCAACACCATTCCGCAGGGAACCCAAGGCCAAAAAATTCCAAAAATTAGTAAGAAGAATGTCAATGCGCAAGGGACTGCCATGCTAATATTTGGAATTCATCAGCCTTGATTTCCCTGCTGAATGATGTGGATCCAGCATTATTTTACCATCCTTTATTTAAGATATCTGCGGTGAAACTGTAGGAATGTTTTCTTGATTTGTGAAGTTGTAGACTTCCTGTTTTACTTTATTTTCTGCATAAAAAAAAACCTCAACGTCTGTTCTTCAAACCTCCCTGATTATATTTCTCTGCGTGGAGCATAATTTTTGAAAATTTCAAGTAGTAGCATTGGTTTTTTCTCCTTAGATAAAATAAAATAGAAGCAAAGATTTTAAAACACTGCAAAGGAGATAAGCGTTTCTGTGATTTCTCCATCAATTATTGAGCTAAAATTCAGATTGATAGAATCAGCTCTCGTTCATCAGATCTTAGCTGGAAAAATCCTCCTCAACAGGAAACATTGTGAACCGTGAGTAGAGCAAATTGAAATTTGGAAAGACCTATTTTGTCAAACGGGATGTTTTTACTTCAGGATAATGCAACGCAACAAATTTCAACCAGCAAGAAGTAAAAAAACACTCTCAGCAAAGGAAGCACATTTTATGTGGCTTAAACTCATTAAATCAGATATTTCATTATCCACTGAAAAACTTAGATTCCTGCACAAATCATTTTGAAACTACTCGTAGAAAATTAGTCATTCATGAAGATATCCTCTGAATATCCTATTTGCTCATATTTAGGTATTGGAACCCCTTTACCTGGCCTTAGCATGACAGTCAGCGACAATGATGTGGGAGAAAATGCCCGTTATATTTTGGCCTTGGATAATCTGGATCATCGGATAAACCAGTGGTTCAAAGTTGAACCAGAAGCTGCAACTGGCCACACCCCCGTAGTAATTCGTGTCATCAATAATAAGGGGCTGGATTATGACCGTGGTGTCAAAAAATTACAGATCTCTGTTGTGGCTTACGTTGAAAGTGATTGGGTAAGTATTTTAATCCAATTAATTGTTTTTGTTTTTTTTGTCTTCTTGAGATTGAAAATCACTTCATTAAATTAAGTGTTAATTTACGACTGAGATTGTCAATCTGAAAAATGAGCTTTGATCATAAACCCGTATTTTTATAGGTAGAATGTGGATAGCGGAATATGCATTTAATAGTTAACTGGCAGAGTTAATTGGATGATTAATAGCCCCAGGAAAAATATTTACATATTTCTGTCATTTGCAGAGAAATTAATGCCAAATATTTTTCATTTTCACCTCCAAGTGTGCAAATTGTGGGTATGAAAAGTCAAAAAATTTTGATCATTTGGGTCAGGGAAAGTCTGAAAAAGTCAGGAAGTTTTCCTCGCTGTGTCTATAGACACCCTGCTTTTATACCCACTTTAATGAACTTCCATGCTTGTTAATTAATAGGGAGTGTTTGATGTTGGAGCCACTGCCGAAGTATTCCTCAACATTCTGGATGCCAACGATAACGCTCCGCAATTCTCTGAGGAAAATTATTCCTTCACCATCCCCGAGGATACCCCTCTTCAAACAATGGTTGCAAACCTCACAGCAACAGACGCTGACAGTGGGGATTTTGCCAAGATCAGCTATGTTCTACGTGGGTTCGGCATGGACAAATTCTACTCTGACCATCAAATGGGCGGGCTGTATGTGGCTAACAGTAAGTTTATGAATGATTTTAATCTTAATAATTTTATCTCATAGGTACCATTTTCTTTTAGTATTTTGCATACTCTTGATGTGCCAAGAACCACTGTGCTCAACCGAAGTGCAGGAAGTTTTTAGCTATGCCATTTTAAATATTCCTTATTTTACCAAATTTTTTAAATTTCAGATTTTTCCTCCTGACAATTTCTGCCTTTTTAAGATTATCTACAGGTTTGCAAATCTTTTAAAGTTCATGATGTTGCACTAAACGTCCCGCCTATTTTTACCGCGAAATTTCCGGACTCGAATTTCTTGCGTACGGATCAGCTTTATTACAGACAGATGTCATGGAATTAATAATTCGTGTCTTTCAGAATTGGACTATGAGAAACAGAAATCGTATTCATTAAGCCTGGAGGCCAAGGATGGAGGTGGACTTGTTACTGCAGTGAATATCTTAGTTCATCTGAGTGATGTCAATGATAACGCTCCAGAATTTGAAGCAAACGAGTACCGTCGTTCAGTCAGGGAAGGAGCTTCATCTTTCCAACCTCAATTTTTTGTCAAGGTATACAAATCAAATAATACCTTTATCTCCATTAGTATGTACAAACTTGATGTCCTTAATTTTAAGGAATTCTCATTAAAATTCAGAAGATTGTCATGAAACTTGCATCAAGATCCGGAGCAGATTTTGTATATCTGATGTCATCAACGTTCGGGGAAGCAAATGAAAGCTGCAACCTTCTCTAAACTGCCGTGCTAAGCAAAAACACTGTATGAACCTTTAGACATCGCCAAATTTCTTTCAATAAAAACAAATTTACCAGGAAAATTGTGGATATTTTTCTTTAAATTTTTTAGACAATTCTCTTAGCAATTTAATCTAAAATATCTAAATATTTCAAGAAAGAATATGCTTAACTATCCTCAAAAACACTCATTTTATAAGGGGAGATTTGGCAATCTTGAATATTCATACGGCGCTCTTCTGTAGCATTGCAGTTGAGGCCTGCGGTGCATTTATTCCTAGGAAATTTAGAAAACATAAGAAACTCTGAGTCGCCCTAATGATCCTGGGGGTGGATTCTTTGATGACATGATATACTTGAATACAGCATGTAGAATCATGTTAACCCAGCTTTATTGTAACATTCTATTTTGAAGCAAACATAACTAAAATTTGATGCCATCAGAAATATTATTGATACCACATCTTTCTGTACAATTGTTAGAGGATTAAGTATAAATTTTAAGTGTTTCCTTTATAATTTTTCTCTTCTTTAATCTTTCTTTCAGGCCATGGATCGTGATACAGAAGCCAATGGCAAAGTATCTTACAGTATCATTCAGTCGAATTCTGAAGTGATCTCTGTCAAGGAGGAAACGGGTGAAATATTCTTAATCCAGCCTGCAAGTTCCAGTCACACTTCCCGAGGACAATATGAACTAGTCATTCGTGCCACTGACCATGGTAAATTTGTGCTGTGTCTTTTCTTGTCAGCTATGTTATTAGTTCTCTCCAATTTTTGTAGAATTTTCTGGCAGAATTCAGAAAAAATAGTAAGATAAAGGAAAAGAGTTCAAACTGAATTTGTTGAGATGAACTCATGTTGCACTGAAGCAATATCTCCAAGGGTGGCAAAGTGTGTCATATAATTTTTTGGAATCGGTAAATGTCAGCATAAACAAATTACAATTCAAGGTACCTAAGCTGTGTTTAGTCTATGTTTGTTTTTCTTTCCTTTTCCTCTTCTTTTTATTTCCATTTTCTGGTTCTTTTAGTAACTAACGCTGATATGTTACAGGTACTCGGCCTCTCCACACAGATGTTCCTGTGTTTGTGCACGTAGGTGTGTCAGGAAATCAAAGGCCTGTTTTCAAAGGAGCACCATACAATGTCACCATTCGAGAAAATGCACAACCTTTGTCACCAGTCATTGCTGTGCAAGCAACTGACCCAGACGGCCCTGATAATCAGATCGAATACAGGATTGCAAACAGTGCAGACAATTTTCACATTAACTCAACGTAAGTTATCGTCGTACCATCTTGAATTCTTATTAAGTTCAGAAAATTACACCTAGCTGGGCCCAAACTGGTTTTCTTCCTCCTTTAGAATTCAGTCTCTTGAAATATTGTAGTAGAGACAAGATAATAGGAACAGGGAAGTCCCTCAATGATAAAAAAATGAACTGAATTTTAAGAGTGCAAAAGCGCTATCTGATAATTTTAATTAGATCCTTACTTATTGGAAATTTATTTTAAACTGGAATTGGATTCAGCCTATCCAACAAAAAGATAAGCACCACATCTCATAATCATCTAACCATAAAAACACCAAGACTCATGAAGAAAAATCTGAATGAAAAAAAATTCCCTCGGTACACAATCCTTATTGTCTCTTTTCTCTTATTGCTTGAATTAATGATTTTTATGACAAAAAAGTACTTATGCAAACTTTCATTTTATTTTATTTATTATTTTTGTTCTACATCTAACATTTAGTATCACAGTATTTTAAAGAAAAATAATGGATCAATACCTGATCTGATACCTCTATAAAATGCAGAAAGCGCAATATCAATTGATCTTATTCACACACTTAATTATAGTCCATATTTAATGTTTATTCCAGAAATTCTACAAAATTTCCTACACAATTTATTTCAAAGCTTAACTGTATTCCTAATGTTTTACAAAGTTTACTAGTTTCTAGTGATTAATACATTTTAATTTATTCTCCTCATTCTTGGGATTTCAGGACTGGTTTGATATCTGTTTCCAAGAAAGCAATATTAGATTTGGACGTATCTAAAACATCTCAATATGCAGTTCAAGTGATGGCTATAGATAATGGCTCGCCTCTAAGAGAAACAGCCCAGACAACAGTTCTAGTCAATATATTTGATGTTAACAATAAGCCTCCAGAATTTTTATCGAATGCAAACCAAAATGTTTACATCTCAGAAAAAACGCCTATAGGTAATGAAGAAAAACAAATATTATCTTTAAAAAAAATGAAGAAAAAAAAATATGGAAGTCTGAAAATTATTTTTATCATAAAAATCAGCCAAAAAAACATACAATGTGAAGAATAGAGAAGGCTTTTTTTATTCCTCTTACTTTAGGAGTTGAGTGTATCATCTCAATTTTACACATTTTACATTGTTTTGTTTTTTTTTGGTCACATGCGGTTTTTTCGAGTCTTTTTGGTTTCCATCATTATAAAAACATATGTTTGATTTCAGTATATTTTTTCTTTTAAAATAAAATTGTAATAAATATTCATTCATAGGTATGTGATCTTTGTCTCTTCGAGAATCAAAAAATTTAAAAGCTTTACCTGAAGGACCTAAAGCTTTAGGTCTCCTAAAAATAGTTGAATTTCTTTTTTATCATGAACTGAAAGTGTAGCTTCCAGAAAATTTTAAACGCAACCATTTTCTTACATTTTTCAATGCATCCGTCACCATCATGATTTTTTTTTTTTTTTTTTTATTTAAAAGAATAGTAACACTCAACTTCTTTGCTTGCAGTTTTCATTGGCTAATCAATACAACACACTAATCTTGTTTTACAGAGATTGTGTGCATTTTCTCGTATTTTTTATTATATTACCCAATTTTTATTCTTAAATTTTCAGGTGAGGCTATTCTCAAAATGGAGGCAGTGGATCCAGATTCAAATCATAATTTGGGATACTACATTGTAGAGCCGATTAAAGTTTTTGATAAAACTGGTCTCACTCCCAAAGAAACTCGAGGATTTGATCTCAAGAATGCTTTCAGGTATTTTCCATCATAAACAGTGGAATTCTATCGTCTCTCCATTGAACTCAAACTGAGTCCAAGTCTCTCAAACTGAGGGGGAAAAAATTATTTTAGAATTCTTTAATCTTTTTTATTCAGTTTCAATTGAAACTCACACAAAATATTATTTCTAAAAATCCTCACCAGAAATTCTCATTCTATCAAATTGGCCCATCAATTACTCAATACTAATTATTAAGATATTTTTCACCAATTCTCTCAATTTCAAACAGTTTTGCTTTTTCAAAAAACATAAAAACTTATGTGGTCTTATCGGCAATTTTAGGATCAATGAAAGCAGCGGTGAGTTACAAGTGAATTCCACGCTTGATCATCAAGCTGCTGCAGTAATCATCCTTACAATTGAAGTTCGAGATAAAAATGCAGAGGAGAAAATCGAAGAGCAGTTTGCTCGAGGTAAGTGCTTCCTTAAAATCATAGACAAGCATATGTATGTCAAGTCTACAGACATAATTAAATAAAGGTTGGTATCAATATAAATCTAGTCTGGAAAAATAACTGTTTCGGTCTTGTAAAGAATAAGATCCATGTATGAACAGCCATCAAATACTCCATTTGAAAAAAAAATCGTTTTTTTTTCTGCTAATTTGATCCAGATTAAAATGTGCTATCAGACTTTTTGGGAGCATTTCATTTAAAAATTTGATGGCAGTCATCAGTGCAATGCCCAGAATTTTTTTTAAGAAAAACAAAAACATCCTTCCAAAGCTTAAAAATTGTTTGTAAAAGAACAATTATTTAGGGAAAAAGATTGGAGAGGAAATAAGCTGAAACCAGAATACCTCAGTATTTTTACACCTTATTGTTTACTGAAAAATCAAAATTACAAAAATAACAAATTTTACCAAAGCTGTTAATTGTCGTCATCGTCAAAACAAGGCTGATTACTCAGTTCAGTTTTCTTCAATATTTTCTCTCTGTCTTTTTTATTCTCTGGTTGAAGTAAGAGTGTAAAAATCTAGAAATATCCTTTTGTCTTTTATTATGTATTCTTTGGCTCATTAACTTGTTCCTTGTTAAAAAGCAATGTTATAGTAAGACCTCGATTTATCGGATTTCACGGGACCGAAGGCCGATTCCGTTAAATCGTGGAATCCGCTAAATCGCGCTAATCGGTCCCGCTAAAGGGACCGGAGGATCAATCCATTAAATCGCGGAATCCGTTAAATCGCGATCCGATAATTTGAGGTCTTACTGTACATGAAATGCCTTGTAAGAATGAAATGAGGGGCTTGGAGGACAAGGCCTGTAAACGCAGTTTTTGAAAAAATTAAGATATTAATGATTTCAAGTAAAACTAGTCTTAATGCATATTCTGTGAAAATTTTGCTCCCAAATTTCAATTTTTAAGCATCAAAAAGTCAGCAAGCCGATTATGAACGATCGAATTCTGATCGATTTTAGGAGTTTCTGACAGATTTTAAGGCCTATCGATTTTCGATCGATTTCCGATCGATTTCCAAAAAAAAAAAATGGCTTCCAAGTGGAAGCGCCGTTTTTTGGATAACAGATCCAATAAATAAGAAAAGAATCAAGAAAATTAAGAAAGAATTACAATGAAAAGTATACAAATGATGATTTGTAGTCCGTCAAATTAAATATTCGCGGTAATATTCAAAATATTTGAAAGCGCGCGCGATGAACGGTTGATTCGGAAAGGTTTGTTTATGTACTGCTTATCTCTGCATTCTCTCTAAGTCTCTTGGTGAATGAGTGTTTTCTTGTCAGTTATTTTACTTTTTAAAGATATTATCGAACTAATTAGATCATTACAATACTTCCATTATAAGGCAGTCAATTTGGATCACATTCTATCATTTGGAGAAATGGTTAGCAAACCGCAAAGTGGTGTGTGTGACGGATCTACGTGATGTTGGTTCGCTCTCTGAATACCGATCAAAGCTATTCAATGGTGATACACGAGGTCCTTATTCACATTTAGTCATTAATATTTCATCCGTAATTTGTAGTGTAATCCCTCGCAAGTGCGTGCTCTAATTTTCGAAAACTAGTTCGTGCCGGATACTGAGTGATCATCATAGACATTGCCGCTTATGATAACCTTCTTCGGGTAGCTTCCAAATCATTTATCATCTGTGATTTCATTAGTAATTATATCTCACATCCTCAGGTACCATGTGTCAAAGATTTTATAATATCACTTCTCCATTTAAGGAATTCACTTCCAAAATCCTCTGGTTGCGCATAACATCACAACTGTAATTCATCGGATCATTGGTTGCGATTAGGTTAGCGTAGCTAACCAGTACTAGCGTATTGGTCCAACAGTGCAAAAACACATGTAGTATTAAAATACCATAAACTATTTGAGAAGAAAGTTTTACCATTCCTTACTGATTAAATGAATCGTCATTGATTTTCATCTTTGTCCCTAAGAGTTTCCATGATGGGCCCGAGTGATGATTGACAATGAACCCATAGGAGAGCCTTATAGAGAAATATCTACATGACTGCATGCCTAACCAGAGGTTTATTTATCTTGATATGCTGCCCATTTATGGATTGATTTATCAAGCAATAATAACTGTGCAATCATGAGGGGGCTCTGAGAGTCCTGATAGTTACTAAAGTCCAGGATAATCAGCTTTTAACAAGCTCAACTAGTCCAATCTCACAGCAGCAAGCGGTCAGTTTATCATCAGTTGTTCTCAGTTATGTGTTCAACTCAAAATGTTTTAAAACACTTGCTAGCCAGAGCAACAAGTCACCATGGACTTCACCAATTCTAAATAGCTGTGTCACTCAGAATTATGGCTTCCGCTTGTTCTATCGTACATTTTAAGGATTTGCGGAGACTATAACTTGATTGTAAACAGCCATTAATTCCACCAAGTTTCATCAACTCCCTTTTCATCACTTGAATCTACTAGAATGTCGCAAAGAGCAACACAATTTTCTGTAAGTACCTATCTAGCTGTAGTTTTATACGTTTCATACAATTTTTATTTTGAACCTTGGACATCTCCATAACCATCCATGCACAGTGAACTCAATTTTCAAATGATACATCTCATTTCAGCACTGTTTGCTAGGTTTAACAATTTTGTCTTCAAGAGATCTCATATTTTAAATCTTAATAGTGGTGTCAAAATAATCTTTACTCTTCCATTCAGTTTTATGCTGCATGCAAATTTTTCTTTGTATACCTGCACTTTCATCCCAATTAAAATATCTAAGTCGGTGTTTCAGTTACAAATTTTCATGCGCCTTTTCCTGTTTCTTTGTGTAAAGTTCTTATTCTCTCAGATTCATTTCCCTAGATACCGCAGTCTTGCTGGGTATGTATTTTTACATGTTAGAGCTGAGGCGGTTGAAATCAAGAACATTTCCCATCATATTTTTCCCCTCTTAAAAGCAAATCATAAAAAATCTCCGTGTTGCTTTCTACTCAACAGCCCATTGTTTCAGTAGTGCCAGCCTCAATGAAGCTAAAATCCTTCTCATATTATACTCTTCGGGTTCTTCTTTCCCCTATAATATTTGTGCAAACTTCCTTCATAGTCTTGCGAAAAAATAAGTGGCAAATTAATTAATTCTTAAGTGTAAGTAGTTGAAATCAGAATTTAAAATTCTTTATTGGATAGTGAGCAGGCCAAAGTTCAAACTGCTGTCATGGAGAAATCTTCTCTGTTCTTATGGGGCTCATAGACAATTTATCGTTAGATGGAAGTATATGTTGTTTTAAAATTATTTCTTAACTTATTTAACTTCATTCACAATTTTACATATTTTGTATGCTCCATTTTAGAAATTTTTAAATTTTATCACGGCAATTTAATTATGAATTTTAAATTTTATCACGGTAATATCCTCAATATTCTTCTCTCCTCAATTCGTATTCGCTCCTCTATCTCTTCATTTACAACATCTTCGTAGTTCTCAATGACTAGCACGAGATTCGCCATCTTTAAAACTATCCCGTGAAGCGTGACCCAAATCGATGGAAAACTCTGTTTTTCACGAAATCGATGGAAATCCAAATCGATGGGTCCGGACCCATCGATTTGGATTTCCATCGATTCCGGGATTCTGATCGATTTAGGGCCGTATTTCTGCATTTTTGCATCGATTTGTGTCCTATCGATTTGACCGGCCCGTAAGCGCAATGCTTTTCTAAATCGATAGCATCCCCAAATCGATCATAATTTCTGTCAGAAATCGATCGTTCATAATCGGCCTGCAGTTTGAACTTTCTTTCTGCCATAAGGATCCATGTAATTTCAAAACTTCAAACACGTACTGTATTTCTCGGAATAGCAAAAACTACTTTTATGTGCCTTGTCCTCCAAGCCCCTCAAATGAGCTTATCAAGGAGATCTCTGTGGTCCTCTCTCTTTATATTACCTCTCATTCATGTGTTAAAGTATTTTAATTGTTCATCTCATCCTCAATTTATTCAATGTCTTTTTTTATTTGTTAAACCATTTCAGTGGAAGTGTCAGTATACATTCAACCACATAATGAAGAGAACCCTGTGTTCTTGGTGGGTGGGTGGACATCTTCAGACCCGATCATCAAAGTCACAACGCCAGAGGAACAAGCAGTTGGAACGACAATATTACAAATAATTGCAACAGACCCCCTCACTGATGAGCCAATCAGAAGTTTCCGAGCACTGACGGCTCTGCCGAGACAGCTTGCATTAGACCAAGCTGGCAACTTGTTATTGACAGAGAGGTTGGATTATGAAGTCATAGGCAATACGGTAAGTTTCCCTGATACTAAGCAGCTCAGAAATAGGAGAAGAAAAGAAGGAAATAAACAGAAGAATCAAAGATGGGAGAAAGTGATTCCTCATGTTGAAAACATGGCTAATAAACTGAAAAAAAATCCAGGGTTGATCAACGATCAACCCGGACGACCGCCCAAGAGATGGGCACAGAGCTGCCTTTCATCCCCGAAGAATTGAGTGATCTCTCTCATCGCCATCATATTTTATTTATTATTTTTATATACTAATTTAGGGGCTGGACAAACAGGGTCACGGCCCTAGTCAGAAGTTAGAAGAAGAAGTAGAAGATCAACATTGGGTTCCTACTGTTACCAAATGATTTCATTTGTTTGGTTTGTGCTTAATTTGGTCATCGTCGAATATACCTGCTGAAACTTTCTTGTTGGGTGAATCGGTTTCTGCATATTATTATAAGTAGTTTCGTAAAGGAAACATGCTACCTGGGGCTTTAATTAATACCTTGTTTAGTAGCCAATCCTGAGCTCTATTCATATTATAATATCTTACTTTTTATCCAAGATTAATACCCTGTAAGTTGTTTATATCTCTTTATCTTTGTTTTCAGACCCTCAGCCTGAGACTTCAAGCTATTTCGGAGGATGATGAACGGTACACAGATGCATTAGTTCTAATTAAAGTTGATGATGTCAATGATCATCAACCGGAATTTGTTCATAAGGTGAATTGATTTCATTGTTATAAAATTCGAAGCCTCTCAAATTATACTCATACTAATCTTTAAAGTCATGCAACTTCTTAAAATTTCCAAATATTTGAGCTCAAATTGTAAAATCCCTACAGAAGAGTGTTATCCTACATAGTTTTAAAATTTCTACCTTCATATTCTTTGGGAACAAAAGTAATGGTTGCTCTCACATGTCAAAGGACTATAAAGGCCTCTCTATAAAATTGCAAATGAATTTAAACAGGTAAAGGAAACATTGTTGTGAGTTAGTAATCAAGTTGTTGATCAATAGAGTAGAGATAGAAGAATTAAAGTGTTTTTTTTTTTTTTTTTTTTTTTTTTTTTTTTTTTTTTTTTTTAATTAGTGTCGTTTTGGAATTTAATGTTAACTGTTGTAACTTTTTTTAACATTTTTTTCCTTCTTTTTTTTTAAAAAAAAAAAAGGTGCAGTTCCTCTAGATGACCATATAGTACATAGAGTCGTAATGTAAGTGGGTGAGCTGGCGCCACTTTTAAGCATTTTCCAGGCCCCGAATTCCGAGACTCCTGTGTGGAGCCGGGTCACTTTTTTGATACATAATCAATTGTTTGTGATACACGGGTACCTGGCCATCCAATGTAAACAAAGAAGAGAGGAATCACCTCGTATTCCACACCGCTATTTTGGATCGAACATGTATCGAAAAAGTGACCCGAACTCGGCGCACACTGGGCTCGGAACTCGTTGAGCAGAACATGGCGCCAGTTCTCCCATTTACATTACGACTCTATGTACTCTATGTAGATGACCTGTAGTGAGCACATGAATTCAAAAATGGCCGGAGACTCCTCAGATCTCGGAGCTTAATCTAGCAGAGCCAACACAAGGGCAAGATACCAATTGAGTCATCTAGATGTCTTTTTATGCCTGTATTTTCAAAATAATGTTCCTCTTTTTCAACATGTGAGTTTCCAGTTTATCATTGCATCAATGTTTTCCAATTCCAGAGATTCACCGGATCTGTTGTTGAATCCGCAAACAAAGGCACTTTTATCCTAAAAGTTCAAGCAACAGACGGAGATTTGCCAGATTCTCCGTATGGTTATGGAACCATAAGTTACTCACTCAGCGGAGAGCACTCATCTTTAGTCAGCATAAATAATGAAACAGGAGAAATTAAAGTAGCAGGTGATACCATCGATAGAGAAAAGATGCAGGTTCTGCGATTAATTGTCACTGCTGTCGATACTCCACTCAACCGTGAAAAACAGCGACGTGTATCGGCACCTGTAAGTTATATCAATCTTACAGATCTGTCTTTCATTCTCTACTCTCTTACGCATCAGAAATTTTGTCCGTATGATACAAAAACATTAAAAACACAAATTCATTTGAATTTCTTCAATTTTAGTTTTGATTACTTAGAAGCCCACTTTCAGTGAGTTTAGAATGCATAAGTCATTGAATGCATTAGAATGTATAACAGCAGAATTCGGCAAAAACCACGTTTCAATCTTTTCGTTGGCTCTCTGTAACCTCAAAAATATCTCCCAGGAAAATAATATTTACTCCTTCTACATGTTTCTTAAAAGAGTCTGCAAAAAACAAAGCCTAATTTTTTTCCTGCTTCCCAACTCAGTCAAAAAATTGGTGAAAATCGTCAAAAATTCGATAGGCTACAGCATTATAGTAACACGTACAAAAACACTGCAAGACAACATGGTAAAATACATCTTTCAATGTTACAGGTGATCATAGAAGTTGTGGACATAAATGATAATGCTCCTACTTTTTCATCCAGTCAGTACTCATTTGTAGTTTTGGAAAATGTCCCTCTGGATACAAGTGTCTTGAATATAAGCGCAACTGATCCTGACAGTGGTGACGGTGGCCGAGTTGAGTATGAGCTGGTTGATACAAGTGAAGCTGCTGGTAAGGAAAATAAAATTATTTTTCAAAATTCTATTAATTAATTAAAATATCTATGGCGTCCATCCATGAGTGAAGAGACCCAACTGCCGAAAAACTCAAAATTGAATTATTAGCACCACTGTGAGAGGAACTTCTCGCTAACATTATGAACACCAAAAGTGTACCTAACTCGAGTGTACAAAGTTTACCAAACTCTTGACGGAAAAAATCCAGGGGTGCAAAACTTCTGCGACTGAAAAGCCCATCCGGTCGAGAATACAATGTGAAAGCCGCCGAAAGGAGAATTTTGAGAAGTGAAAAAGAGAACTTGAAAGGGGGGAGAAAATGTTGAGTCGGTGCTACTTTTTGTGAATGAAACTATTGAATGCATTATTTCTTCAGAATGAAACTGCCAGGCACATTACTTAAGGTAAAGAAAATTGTGAACTGTGTGTTTAATGCAAAGAAAATAGTCCAGTGGGCAGTCTTACGTAAACAGCGATGTAAAGGCTACCTTAAAAAATGTAAAGGCAAAAAACTTTCTCCAGCCATGGAGAAAGTTTGGAAAAAACTAACTACGTTATGTCCTAATATTAGAATGTACAAAATATAATATTATAATATGTAACAATAAATTTAATGAATGATCTCTATGTCGAAGTCTTCAATCAAAATAATCGTAACCATATCAATTTTTCCCACAAAAACAAAATGATCGTCACCTGAAGAATAAAAATACCCAAAGAGAGCAGATGCAGATGATGTGCAGTGATATTGAAATTATTGATTCTTAATTTTGGTCAAGGAAAATTCCATATCTTTTTTAAATTTTTTCTACAGGACTATTTTCTATAAATTCTCAAACTGGGGAGTTAAAAACAGCTCAACAGCTGACGGGAAAAGGTCGAGCTGAATCGTATGGTATCACAATCAGAGCCCAAGATGCAGGTACTCCTAGTCTTTTCACAGACGTCATTGTCAAAGTTTACATCGGAGATGTTATCTCTAACGATGGTGTTCCCTCAATTATCCATCCAGCTTTGGGTGAAGTCGCATATATTTCAGAGGTAAGCTTTTCCCTGTATTTTTATTTTCCCTTAAAATATCAAACTAGAAATGAGTTTTTCAATGTATTGTATTCATAGTAAATGAAAAGCATGCCGAATGCTTAATGCATAATTTAGGTATTTTTTAAAGGTTCCCTGTTTATGGCATTACGGTCATAATCATAAATCTGCAGTACCGCTCCTTAAGGAGAACAAACCGATTTTACCACTTGAAATTTTCGCAGGTTATTCTTCATGCAGTAGGGGTGTTCAAACGAATTCTTGCCGGAACACTATCGATATCGTCTCTTTTTGAAACTGGCGGCAGTACTGACAGTGGCGATGTTATCGTTAACAGCCGGCCTTATCGGATTTTTGAGAGCTCGCACTCAATGCATTGTTGCCCCGTGCGTAGGTTTATCAGATTGTCTGGCGCGGCAGCACGTGAAATAGATGTACAAATGGCAACAGCTTATTTTCGTCAGCTCCGAAAACTCTGATCACTATCAGCAAGAGCGCTCTTATCGTAACTTTTTCTTAACCGAACTGTTTTTGTAGCTTACCAACAACCGATAGAACAGCCCTATCATGCAGAGAAGGAAAATGAAGGAAGTTTTCAAGAATTGACGCTAAGTATTTTTCCATTTGAAAAATAAAGTATTGCAAGAAGCCTGCAACGTTGCAAAGGGAGTTTTGCCAATTTGTGCAATTTTGCCATGAACATAATTAATTTTGTAATTAGTTTTCAATTATCTACGTTGATTACTGCTTATAGTAATACACATCTTTCAATTATTTTAAAAAACAATTTTTTTTTTCCCAGAATGCTTCCATTGGAACCCCAGTTTTCAAAGTCGTTGCATCAGACCCTGATGATCCCAACTCTCCGGAGGGCAGACTAATGTACAGTTTCCTTCAAGATGGGTCGGATTCATTAAATTTTTTCATTGGTAAGAAACCGTTTGCTTTAAGATCCAATTGCAATTTTATTCGTAATTTAAATTATCTAATCATATAATAGACGTTCTTGATTTTTAAATAACCGTTCAAGCTCAAAATTGTGAAAAACTTGGAGAATACTTGCCTGCAGCCTGATAGTTGAAATTTTTTGTTTGTCGGGTGGAAATGGATGACTTAGGTTAAATGGCGAAGCAAGATTGGTTGGCTATGTCTTATCGTTGCTTTGTTGGGTGGAATAGGCGACATACTGTCGGATACGCAAGTAGTGCCTTTAATTTGTCGTCCATTCCAAACGACAAAGCAATGATAAGACATAGCCAACCAATCATGCTTCGTCATTTAACCTATGTCATCTATTTCCACCCAACAAACAAAAAATCACAACAATCAGGCTGCTGAGTCAGTGCTTTGACTTAAATTTAAAGCTTTTATTACACCATTCACCTTAAAATTGTCAATAATATCAAATATATGGTAGATTCTTCCAGTCGTTTACAATAATTTTCTTTCTTTTGTTTGGCAGATGCTGACACAGGACGCATCACTACACGAGCTCTCTTAGATCGAGAAACAAAAGAAAAATACTCGCTTTTATTAGTTGTACAAGATTCTGGAAGTGTTCCCCAGCAAACCACGCAAGTTTTAAATATTATTGTCACAGATGTTGATGATCACAAACCCATCTTCAAACGTGCCATCGTATGTATCCATTATGAATTTATTTGATCCTTTGAAAAGACTTTTGTATTAGTTTTCTCTCATCTAATCACTCTTTTTATCTGGTATTTATGATTCCTTTTGTGTTTGCCAATGATTCAACAAGAAAGTTGAAATTACAGTACTGACAGCGAGAGATTTTGTTTGAGTAAGCACAGAACCTTTTTCACAATGCTCACGCACTCATTGGAGATTGATCGTTGTATTTACTCTTTCTAACATGTTAAAAGGAAATTATTATTTTATTCTCAAACTTCTGTAAATTAATATGTTCATGAAACTATACACCGTTTCCTCCATAATTTGTTTCTCTACTAAATAGGTGAAATAATGGAAAGGAGTGTCTTTTTTATTTATCAGTTCCCTCCAATGGCATTAAAAGGTGTTATTTAAAATCTCATCATGTGTAAGATGAAATTCTTTAAACTGCAGTAACATTTTTTCCGTCTCTGATATTAACTTTATCCTTTGTAAAATTTTTAAAAAATACATTTTGACCTTTTCTCCAATTTTTAGGATGAATCACCAGTGCGTTTAGAGATCCTAGAGGAATCAATGCCTAATTCTATCATTGGCACTGTCAAAGCTGTTGATTTAGATGTAGGAGATAATGCAAATATTGGCTATCTGATAACATGTAAGTATCTTTACACTTTTTGTATCAAAGTTGTAATAAAGTACAGGACACCAATGGTTCTGCAACTTGCTGACTATTGTCGCTCAATTCAGTTACTCTGTCCTCATCCAAAAATCTTCAAACATTTAAGAGCAAAAATTTCAGCAAAAATTAGATTTTAGCTATAGATTTTTAAGGCTTTTAATTTTTTATCTTTGGTAATGTTAGAAAATCAGCGAAAACATCATACACATACATGTTGCTTCATAGGGCTTCCTGGTGTTTTTCAACATCTAACTGCATTTGCTCCCTATCAAACCGTAACTCTTTAAGAATGGAGTATTGTGTATGCTTGCATCAATCCATTGCTCCACCCTCTTAATGGGCGCGCTCTGTGCCTTTTCCCAGGAGGAACCCAATGTAGGACAATAGAGGCAACATTATTAACTCATAAATTAATATATCATTGACAATCTAAAACCCAAGAATTACCAACTTATTCTCTGTTTTAAAGATGGTAATGAGAATGACCTATTCGCCATAAATCGAACGGAGAACAACACTGGTTTGATAACAGCAGTTGGACGACTAGATCGAGAGTCAGTTGCGGAACATTTGCTGACAATCAAGTGCTTCAAATTAAGTGATACGCCATCAAGTCTGAGGAAAGCTTATAGTCGACAGGTAATATTTTAAAATACATTCCATGTGTTTTTTTTTTTTTTGAGTTTTGTCTGCTGGCAAAACATTTTCTCTGAATCAGAGTGGTCTTAAAAACAGTTTGATTCCATCCTAGGTGACTTACACGAATACATATAGCAAAGGAAGCATATGACTTCAAAGACTTTGTGATAAAATTGAATCCATACATTGCTTCAGGCGACCTCATCACTGAACGAAAAAAGTACCTTGAAAAAATGACTGTTGATGAAGCAGCTGAAACATGAAGTTCATTTGTCAAAGACTGGAAAAAACTGAATTAGAGACAGAAGCATTGGAAAAGAACTGTCTCTGAAATGAAAATGAAATTAGAGGATTGCATTTACTTTCATTCTTTTCCTTAATAAAATGCCCCAATATTTTTGCAATTTTTCAGACTTTCCCCCTTTTAAATTACTTTCCTCCAAATCTTTCACAATTTCTAAGTACGTAGATCAACTTCTCCATTGAACCAGCATTTTTCAGAATTTCATACTCAATTTAGATTATTTTATAAACGAGTGTAAAGAAGAATGTTGAAATTTATACAATAAATCTTGTATGATTACTCTTTATCCCCCAGGACTTTAGTGAAATCCAAGTCCGCATCATTGTTCTTGAAATTGACGATAACTTGCCACAGTTTCAAAAAGGAAATATCACCGTTGGTAAGTTTTTTTTCCTTCAAACATCCTACCTAACTTTTATTGTTTGATCATGTGAGACTGAACAAAAAAATTAGAGTACTTTTTATGTTTCACAAGAAAACTAGTGCTTCTTTAGCTGCAAATTACATACCTGACCAGTCTTGATTTTTAAAAAATGAAAAAAGAGAGAAGAGAAAACCAGATTTTTAGTGTACCAATACCCAATCTCATCTGTCTATTCATGTGCTCAGCAGTAATGAAACAGATAATATAATGCTTGCAATGGAGTCAAACTACTGAATTGACTCATTGGTTCGTTATTTCGAGTAGGAAGTGACTTACATTATTTTAATTCATCCATCAGCGGCAAGACAAAGATAAGTTTTTCTTGCTTCAATGCATGTAAAAGGTCTACTCAAATTCTATGTTTTGTTGTCATCTTTTCCAGGCGCTCGTGTGAATGTTCCAATCGATACTTTACTTCTAACTCTGCAAGCGGTGGACATTGATTATAATCCAGACCCAATTACCTACAGTGTCAAGAATTGGACATTTGTCTCTGGATTTAATAGTTTGGTCGAAGTTCCTAACACTCCTCTTCCGTTTCACCTCAATTCCCAAAATGGGGAGCTTCGAACGTCAGCCAGCATGATTGACTACATGAATGGTCATTTCATTTTAAATGTCTCCGCCAGGAATAGTGACGATGAGGGGAAAGAATCCTTTACAACAGTAAAGGTAAGAAATTAGCGATATATTTCACCATTGGAAAAGAAGAAGTAGTCTCAGACTTCAAAGCATTTAGTACAAAATTGAAATTATCAAAAACTATGAATGTTGCTCATTCAGTAATTTTAAAGTGAATTTTTTAACTTAAGCACTTGCTTTAAGCAACTTTTGCAGCCTCTACTTTCACGTTTTATGTGGAAATAGTTTTTTTAATTTTTAAATTGACCTAATTGTTAAAGTAAATTTTAAAAAAGTATTAAATAAATTTTAATTTAAAAGAAAAGAAAAAAAAAGTATTACAAAAATGTAAATCAAAATGTTCTTCGGAGAGCATTAAAAAAGGTATCAAAAATTTTCAACCCAGATGTCAAAGTATTAACAAGCATCAAGAACTTTATTTCAGGAAAGTTGAGTTAGAAACATTATTTCTTTGTTCCAGATTTATGTGGAGAGAGATCGTGTTTTACTCAAGTTCATTTTCTTGAGACCTCCGACTGAAATCAAAACAAACCTCCCCAATTTCACGGAGGAAGTTGAGAAAGCCCTGGCATTGAAATCATCTCAGTTGAATATTTATGACACACAGTTTTACGAAAAAGAAGATGGAAGCTTGGATTTCAGCAGCACAAGGTATTTAACTTCAAAATATGCATTTTTCAAAACTTGAAAGTTATCGAAAGTCCAAACTCTCTCAGTTAAAATTCTCTCACAATTCATTTTGAGATTATTTTATTTTTAATGAAGCACAAGACTCCTGATTTCCTAGACTCAGTAAGACAAGACCAATCTGGATAACAAAATACAGTAAGACCTCGATTTATCGGATTTCACAGGACCGGAGACCAAATCCGTGAAATCGCGGAATCTGCTAAATGGCGCTAGTCGGTCCTGCTGAAGGGACTGGAGGATCGATCCATTAAATTGTGGAATCCGTCAAATCGCGATCCGATAATTTGAGGTCTCACTGTAGAGAAAACAACACTCAGTCACATACAAGTATTAATGAATTCTATCATTGGATAAATACTATGATGACTGTGAAACTCCCAAACCACGTATCTCGTTGTTGGTATTTTAAAATTTCCGTTTCCATTTTATTTTATTGAATGAGAACAAATCAACATCATTCCTTGAAGTTTCCACAGAATTTTCTTTGCCTCGAGAAGAAAAATCATGGAAATTTAAATGATTGACGTTGAATAGTTTTCCTGTTATAAATTAAAGTATGACAGGAAGTCTGCAACATAGCAAGCCAAAATACTTGGTTAAGAGTTTCTCTGTCAGTATCTGTCTCAGGAGCCTCTAGTTATTGCTTAAAAACTGCAGAATAAACTATTTTTCCAACCTATATTTCCGCTTAAACCACTTTAATTTATAGTTCTAATTTCTTAGATTCATTTACGATAAATTTTATTCTTATTATAAATTATCATGTATTGTCTTAACACTTACTCTCTGTTCTTCTTTTTCCAGCTCATGTTTCCAGTTGTTGAATCAAGATAACTTAGATTTAAATGAAGTTCATGCCATTTTACGTGACACCTCCAATAATGAACTCAAAAGAGTTTATGACAAGTATCAAGTTGCATCTGTTCAGGTAATTTTATGGCTTTTTTCCCTACTCCTTTTTCCCGTTCTAATCTCTCTTCTAAAATCAGATCCCCCATTCAGCTTCGGATCATTTAAATGTTGCCATTTTTCACTAGCAAAAAATTCATTTTTGCGGAGAGCCAATGTTTCTTTTAAAACTTTTAATTGCACATTTAAATTGTGCATGAATTTCTCTGATAAATATAAATTCAATGAAAAACTGGAAATTTTCTTGAAAAATTTGTATTTTTTATTTTATTGAAACAATTATTGTAATGTCAGAATGTTCATACAACATTTTCCTACAGCATAGCACTGTAGCCCTCTCTTATTTGGAAAACGTCTCTCTTATTACAGCGATCTCTCGGCTTATTCTGCCTGAAGTATCATGATTGATGTAATCTTTGAACTGCTTCTGGATCACTGTCCGATAACGGATTAGGCAACTATTGTCAAATGTTTTCTGACACCTCTATAAATGAGTCGAAAATAACTCGAGGATTCCTGAATCTGTTTTATTGCAATGTAATGTGTTTTTATTTTGCCTTAAAATCAATAATATGAGTTAATCTTATCCATTTTCAGCGCTGTGCTCCACAATTGTTACGGGCAGAAGTTAAGTGGTCCCAAATCGCCGTGCTTGGAATAGCTTGTTTTATTGGCATAGCTGCACTGATATCCATTTTTGTTCTATGCTGTGCATACAACAGGTACATTTACCTTGTACTTTTATTTTAACATAAAAAATTACGTTCCTCGCAATGAGTTCTTCCCAATTTGTATTTTTATAAGAGCTGTGCAAAAAGTAAATTAGAAATAGAATTCAGAGCAAACTTTTCAAAAAGTCTCTCCTCTGAACACGAATTATTTAAAGTTGTGAGAATCCTACCAATAATTTAAAATCAATACCATTTGTTTTTGTATTTTTGGTTTTACATAATACCTACAAAAAATAGGGGTAACAGTCTTTTCTGTGGTTTTTAGAAAATTTTTGGCTGATAATTACGAAGAATGTTTCATCATGCTAAAATGCAATCACCCTCAGGATTCCAAAACTCATTTAATACCAGTTCCTGTCTTTCATGTTGGAAAAAAGAAAAGGATGGTGATATCATTCTTAATCGCAGTTTCATCAAGAAGAGCTTCTTTTTCTGATTTTCAAATTTCAAACTGAAAGTTCTCAGCACCCGTTTCCATAGATTGTTTCTTGTCATAACTAAGAACAACTTAAGCCTATCAACTAATTTTGGTTTATTATTGACTGCAAAAGTTGCCCTAAAATGGCTATTTTGAATGATCGGAGGTGATGGGTAAAAAGCAGTGTGTGAAGTCTTCTAGTGCGGAAACAAAAGCCCCCTCAGGAACTACGCATATTGAGAAGGATACAATACACTTACTCATAAATATATCAGGACCTTGTAAAGTGAACTCTTGTTGTGTTTATTTTTGGCATCTAATTGAATTGTAATTTGATTTCAGATGGAAGAAAATGAGGTGATGAATGGTCAACCGTAACTTCATCACAACCAGCTAATTGTACGTATTCTTTTACGTAGCCATTATTTTGAAACTTTCTTGCCGTACTTCTCTGGATCTCACAATCCTTGCCAATTTTCAACCTTTTGTGTTAACGCAAAAAATTGATGCATTGCAAATTGTAAAAATTGTATTGCAAAAATTATTTGTGTACTTTGTTTCAATAAGTTCTTGTAAGAATCACAAATACGTTTCGAATTTACTCATAAAAGGCTTAAGACATCCTCTCTTAATGTTCTTTTTACTAACTCTCTATGGCTTGATGGTACTTATTTGTAAAAACGCATTTTTAGGTTTTTAAAAATTGCACTATTTCTCCGAAGCATGATGTTGCAAATTTTTATCACTGTCTTCTTTATTGGAAAAATGATTACAAAAATTTATAAAGTTTTTGACATTATGTTTTTACGAAAGCTACAGCCGAGATTTGCATGTCTCAGAATCTGAGACCCAAAATTAATTCATGCCATAGAGGGTTAAGATGGCCTTTTACTATTTAAATCATCATTATTATGCCATTAGTTTTCGGGCCATTTGTTCCATAGCTCAAAAGTTGAGAGAATCTGTCTCAATTGACAACCTTTGATCAGGGATCCTATTAAACCTAACCTACAATTTTGAGAGCTACTATAAGCAATTAACAGACTTAAATAGAGAGCAGAAAGAAAACTTTAGAATTGTCTGCAGTCTATTTGTCAAAAGCACTTACCAGGAATTTTGAAACTCTGTAGGAGGACTAAGTAAAATAGACAAAAATGGACTGTTTTTTTAGTACATATTTTGTTATCTCTGAATGAGTACAAAACTGTAAGCCTCCTCTCTCCCCTTTTTCACTCCCATTGCCCCGTTCCTCTATCTCAGTGCCCGCTCTTTCAAGTTGGAATGAGAGGTATTTCAGTCATCAGTTAGCTCTTTGTACTCTTTTCAGTGAGCCACTTCAATCTAATGGAAGATTGGCTCGTGTTTAGTTATTTCCTTTTGATTCAACATGTTGGCAATGGCGTCAGGTGCCAGCGACCAACAGCGAATATTGAGCTGTAAAATCAGAAATCCGTCCGTCCACATGTTGTGATCTCATAGCTCCTCAAAACATCTCAAAGACATGTTTTCTGGCTCTGTTTTTTAAACTTTCAGGTGATTTTTTCAAAACTTAGTTAAAAAACGAGGTAGACTAAGTTTTGGGCATGTGTCAAATGCTTGCACCTGATAATGCGCCTGTTCCACGATTATGTTACCTGAACAGCACGTCAATTGCCAATATATTAATCAAAAATAAAATGATTAGCCAATTGATATCTGAGTTTCTGAAAACCTTGCCACAGAGCAATAATATTTGTTTCGTCATGGGTGCTGAAACATTTTGGACAAGCTTTTTGCTTAATTAAATGTCGATGAAAGATCATCAAAACTACCTTGGCAATAGTCTGATAACATTTTTCCTTGGTGGTCAGGAGGGGCTCAAATTTAACAAATTTAAGACCAAAACATGCCGAATGCACCTGTCCCCTCCTCACCAGCGCATAATCAGCAATTTTATTGGATCGGTGATTATATGTCTGCCAGTTATGAGCCATGTCTTAAATGGTCTGTAGATTTAGAATTTGAAAGTGTAAAGATTTTTTAGGTGCTTTGACGACAGCAAGCTTCTTTTTTCCTCTCTAGTTATTCCATCTTGCCATAAATATAAGGTTTAATGCAATGAGGTGTTCTGTATCTTGGGCTTTTGCTCATTTTTAAACATCTTTTCCACTGCCAAAGAACTGTGGATAGTGGTTAGTACTTATTTGTAGTAAATAATTGTGATATTATTGACTTGATTTTATTAGTGTCTTTTACTACTCATGAACATTCCTAAACTTTTTTTTTTGCATTTTCCTTGACTTCGATTGCAGTTTTTACATTCAAAATCATGTCTTGGTCTGAACGTAACACATTTTTTTTGTTAAGATCCTAAGTATTTGTATTTTTGGATTTTAAGTGCTCTTTAACAACACTTAAAAGCCCTTAGTTTCAAATATATTGGTGACTCAGGTTTAGATTAACATGTCACCACTGCAACATTGCAATATGTCTGCTCGTATTTACTACTCTCCAAAAAAATTTGATTGACAATATCCTTGAAGACATGCTGTGATTTCTTCTTTCTTTACTTTCTTTTCTTCCCTTTTTTTAATCTTCTTGCATAGGATTTTTTTCTGAACATCTTGAGTGATACCATCGTATGGTTTTTCCACCAAAAAATGAAGCACACAGAGAAATTTCAAAGCATTAATTTTAATATGCATTTCTGAACTTAAGCTGTTGTCTGTGCAGAACTTAGTGTTGTGATCAGGATGCTTATTCTTCAATTTAAGTCTGGATTAAGTTTTTTCTCTGAATTGACTCCTTGAGAATAATGATGAGGGTCTAAAAACAGAGTACAAACAATTTTTCGCTCACCGTGTGATATTAATGAATGGATTATCTTTTTTTTATCATTATATATTATTTTTTTTTATTCATTCATTTATTTTTTTTTTTTGTAATTTAATGGAAGAGTCTGTACTTATATTTTATTTTAATTGCTTCAAATTTTAATTTACTAATTGTGATCAAGGGCGTCATACAGAACGATTTTTTTTTTTTTAAACTGAACTTGAAAATCGTGGTGAAACATTGTAAAGCATAATAATTACAAATTTGCATTGTGCGTTTCCTGTATCTACTGTCAAAAGTGCCACCAGTTTCTAACTCCAGAGTATAAAATGAAGTTTATTTTTGTAGCACATTTTCGATAAGATCAAGGATCGTCTCTTACCAAATGACACCAATGAATTTGATTTATGGCATACCTTCACTGTGAATCGTATTGTAATTTCCATCACTACTCAATACTTATGTCTTTAGTGATACTTGAGTGCCATTTTGCTTTTGTCTTTTATGTACCTTATCACCATGATTTTCTTTATCCAGTCTTCCTCTTCATATCAGTTCCATTCTAACAAACTTTCAATCAGCCGTGGTATTTCTGTGATGAATATAAATTACTTTGTCTATGAATCAGGTGATCAGAAAATATCAATGGTGAAACTGCAAATATGCATATCTTGGTTGCAGTGTTTATAAAACTGCTCCTATTTTATTTTTTAAAGGCTAGCAAACCAACAGCATTGCTTGAAATTTTTACAGAATATTTTCCACCTAGAGGAGAAAAATTACCGAAGTTTTCAAGAAATGATGCTTAGTAGTTTTCAATGTAGGAAATAAAATATGACAGGGAGTTTGCAATGCTGCAAACCAATAGACACATTTTGCAATTTCATCATCGATATGCAAGTAATCAATCCAACTACATATCGACGGTGAAACTACCAAACCACGTATCTCGTTTATGGTGTTTAAAAATCTACGCTCGCATTTTATTTTTTTGAAGTGGACCAAATCAATATCATTCCTTGAAATTTTCACAGAATTTTCTCCGCACAGAGAGGAAAAATCACAGAAATTTTCAAGACTGGACGTTAAGTAGTTTTTCATTTAAAAAATAAAGAATGACAGGAAGTCTGCGACGTCGCAAACCGAGATACGTGGTTTGGTAGTTTCACTGTCGATATTTTAGATTATCTTCCTATATAGTAGTGCCTTATATTGCCTTGTTTTTCGTCTTCCTCATTGGTGCTTCTTTTTTCCCATTAGATATATCATGGATTCCTCCTTATCCCACATCACTTGATTTGATTACAATTTTTTATTTTAGTTACGAAAATATACTCAAACATGAAATCTTTGAACTTTAGAGACTTGAAACTTTTCAAACCTAAGATATCTTCTTGAGCGTCATGTAAGGAGTATCTAATTTTCATATTATTACTGACATGACATGACATTATTTGTTACTCATTGTGATTATAATTAAATGAGCTCTCACTATCATTGTCTTTTGGCTCCGTGTATTAAGCACAACTAATTCGCACTATTGCCAGATAGTGCTAAAAAAAAATCAATATTTTTCTTCATTCAAACCCATGTAAAATATCGCACTAGTAGTACACAACCTGGCAACTTTGTTAGTTTGTCAGCTGAAGCATCTATGCTTTAATGGCATGTCCATTTAGAAGATTATTCATATCTTCAGTGCTTTCTAATCAATGTAATGAATATTCTAAATCCGAGAGTATTTCATCCCTTTTGTTCCAAGCTTTTTGGAATTTCTGTATTTGGAAAATATGTCTCTCTATTGTTTTTGCACATAACTCTCTCAAAATTTAACATGTATTTGAGCAGAGTCTTGTGTGTTTAATTTACTTTCAAAGCCAACTAAATGTTTCGTCTGAATGTACAGAAAAACTTTCTCAGGATATTATATATCCTGTTACTTAAATCAAAATTGTACATTTATCTATTGTAGATTACTTTTAAGGCAGCTGCTATGATGAACACTCGTCATGCAAAATTTTGTACCTTTAAATTTTTATTAAACAACTTTTAAAGTAAAATAATTACAGTATTTTATTTTTGTTAAAATATATGAAACAATGCAAGCAGGTATATTCACATTTAATCAGGATCAACGTTCCTGAGAATGAGAGGATCTTTGCTAAGTAGCAGAGAAGATTGCTTGCAATTTTTCTCATTTTATTATATGCAAAGACCTAAGTCTCATAGAACTCACTTCTGCCATTGTTCGTCTTATTTTTTAGCAACTAATGAGGGACTTTTTCTTTAAAAATTCAAAGAGTCACCTTGAGATCAAACGTCTGAAAAATTAAGTTGTATGAACTGCGAGACACAGGCCAAGATGTCAACAGTTAGATTACATCATTTTTGGCCAGTAGTCTTGATAATGTAGTTGGTCGTCTGATGAAGGCGTGAACTTTTTGATAAGCTGAATATGATTGCTGCTTATCTAATCGTATGTAGTTATTAGTTTTTACAATGATCTAGAGACTGATATTAAAACTAAAGAAAATTCAGTAGCAAGTTGCTTGAAAACTGGACTGAAAAATAATACTCTTTGAGAAAAGTGAAAATGGGCCACATTTCGCAGTAAGGAGCTACTATTTCTAGCTCATCATAAAGGTCCAGTTACACGATCAAAATGAGCCATCAAACTGAAACTCTGATTAGTGGATAAAGACCTGAGGTGAGGATGAGACCAATGAGAGGCCCAATTTGATGGCTCAATTTGATCGTGTAACTGGACCTTTCAATTCCAACTGGTTGAAAACAAGCAAAATTTTGTGGAATACATCAGTACCTAAATATAACATTTGAGGAGTCTAAAACCAAAACCGGCAATCTTCATTGCACGGTCTAGAAATTGTACAATCATATTAATTTTCTGAGTGGAGCATCCAAAACCTCTGGCTGTTTTTAAAACTTTTCCTTTTCTCGCTTGATAACAGAAAATCCACAAGAACAACATGAATATGGAAGATTTCTCGTTCTTTCAATGTTAAAATTATAATGATGACCCAATTTTTAGACAGGGCAATGGGAATTGCCGGTTTTGGTTCTAGATGCCTCATTTTTTCTATGTCTGTAGTGAACTTTATTTCCTAGGCTCTTGAAGTTTTTATCTCTGAATTTATTATATTTTCCAAGATTTAGAAGTTGGTGATTCCTTCACGCTGTATAAGAACTAAAGGCATGCCTTTGTAATATATTTTATAGGAATTACATGTTAAGAGGTGATAGAATATGAGATAATTTTTTTTTTTTTTATTGCTGTGAATAAGCTCAGAAAGGGTCAAGAAGTGAAGCAATAAAGTTAGTTCCCGCCAATTTTTGTCCCTCCAAGCATGGACCAATCGAAGCTCGTATTGGTCGATTCTCCAAGTTGCCAACATTGTGGACCAACGCTAAAAAATTTTTGATGCAGAATTTCTTATTTAAAACAAGCATCTCAAAAATTCCTGGACTTAAATTTCATATTTTCACGTGGCTTTACAAATTTAAGTAGGAGTATACCCTTACTGATACAAAATTGACACTAAACATCTAAATATCATGTTGGTTGTTTCCTGTTAACTGTGGCAATAATGATCGGTCAGTTTTGCGTCGAATTTTGAGGTTAGGATCACCCGATTTGTAAACAAAATATGAAGTTCGGATAGATAAGCATGTCATCGTTAAAATTTTCATATCATTGAAGTTGATCTAACCGTTACGTTTGGAAAACGCGAAGCTCTTGTCGCAGTTTGATGTTTCCTTTTCCTTTGTTTCGGCGAATGACATGTGTGATGTGATAATGGTAGAAGCTCGTGTGTTTGGCTGCAAGATAGGTTCATCTGAATACAGTAAAGAAGCATGAAATTAATTTATTTCTAGCCGTATTATACAAAGTCATTTTAGGATCCGAACCTGAAATGAGCGAGGAACTTCCAAAACTGATTGGAGAACTCATCAATGCCTGCAAGTAAGTAATCATATGATGGATTCCAAAACCACTCCTTCAAAAACTTACCTTCTCTGGGCTCAGTTTCTCACGAGCCAATTGAATCCTGAGATATGCTAGCAGAGTGTGCTTCATTTTCCTTGAATACCAATGTGGAAAATGGATCAAAATTATCATCGGAGCATCATCTCCCAAAGAAGAAATATGACTTCGCAGCAACGTAATCATTTTCAGTCGAGCAATCGTTTTTCATGACAGGACTTAATCACAATCACAAATTCCATGAGTCCCAGGCAGTGATTGTAAACTTGCTATAGAGAGCATATGGATGGTGTACCTAAGTCGGCAATCACATAACTCGTTTGTGGTGTCTGAAGATCTCTGTCTCCATGTTATTTTTTTAAAGGAGAACAAATTGACATTATTTCTTGAAGTTTTTACAGAATTTTCCCTGAACAGAGAAGAAAAATCATGGCAGTTTTAAAGAATTGCTGTTGAGTAATTTTCTGTTCAAAAAATAAAGTATGACAGGAAGTCCAAGACGTTGCAAACGGAGTTAAGTGATTGCCGACTCACACCGTTGACGTGCGTTAATCGCAAATGAAGAATTTAGCACATCCAAAATTGATCTGTGATGAGTGTTTTCCTTTTCCTAATGCTACCATCCTGAATGAATTTATCGTTTCTTGAAACCTCTAGAACTTGATCAGCAACTCGTCACAGCTTGATCATTTCAGACTTTTCATCAAACCCTTCAATTCATTGTTTCAGCCAGATGCTAATTTTGTTTCCCCTTTTCATTTTCAGTGCCTCAGCTTCTCCAGATAAATTTTTGGGTCTTCTTTCCACCTTCACAGCAGAAGGTTGCGCTAAAGGACATCAAGGATCAAAACTACGAATGGAGATGGAAGCATCTGAACCTGAATTGTTCCGATTCAAGCTTGACAAACTAGAGGAAAAAAAGTAAGTTAGGCTGGAATTTTTTCTTCCGTGTCATTTTGGGATTTGTCCATTTAAATTTGCCACAGTCGCTGATATGGCCTCTAATTGGATGTATTTCTGCCTAATGGAACTATGCATATTAAGGCATGAGCCCTGATATGCATATATTCTCTTGGGTCTCAGGGCTCTTGTCATAATGCACATAGTTCCGTATGGCAGAAATACGTATAATAGTCAGACTGACAATAAGCTCAGTGGAAGTAGGTAGGATGTCATTGCTTTGTCAGCTAAACCTATAATGATAATAACAACTTTATTGGTCAAATAAATGTACAAAATAGGCTTAAAAATTTGTCAATTATACATCTGAATACCACCTTAAATTGAAATAAACCACAGCCAATTAATTTCACTAACTCATTAGTCCAGTAATGGCATAAAATGCCTCGTCAATTAAAAAGTTTTTGGAATTTATCGGAATAAATCTTGATATCTGTTACATCTTTGAAGGGGAGGGCATCAAAATCTCTCTCACTTGGACGTATTTCTGCCAAATGGAACCATGTGCATTATGACATGAGCCCTGTTATGCATATATTCTTATGGGTCTCAGGGCTCATGTCTTAATGCACATAGTTCCGTTTGGCAGAAGTATGTCCACTTGGGCACTTCCGGCACTTCTTTCACGTGTTGGTTTATTTTAATTTTTTATCTCTCCTTCTCCTTTTCACCAGACTTACCATCTTACCCAAGTATTTGGAAATGCTGGAATACATCAAACAAGACAAGAAATTGTCAAAGGTCCTAGCAGGTGTTGCGGCTAAAGCTGCCCGTTCAGAATCCTTCAGGTCTTCTTCATCTGCCACATTAGATCTCACCTCAGCAGAGGATGAAACGTTTTCAGTGGTAAGTTGAAGCAAAACATCCTCTAAGAGAAACTTATCCAAACCATGTGATGTTTTAAAAGGTTACACCACCTCACACGGTGCCCCTGAACTCACTTTAAATGCGACTTTGTTGTACATCAAAAATTCAAGTTGGAGGTTGTAGTGGGGTACCCCCTGATGGGTTTTTGGGCAATTTCGAAATAGGTTGTCGGAGCTCCTCGAAAAATAATCGCATTTTTGTGGTTTTTTAGGGGTAAAATAGCAAAATTGGCCTCGGGGCGACAAATTAAACCTCCTCTCCCTCATCTTTGCTTTGACCGATCTGAATTTTTAGTATGTTTTTACCTGGTATAAGATGGGACTTTTCTGAAATTTTCATGCCCATACAATTTTTTTTGCTCCCGCGGCAGCGTTGCCAAGTTGCGGACTCCAAAATATCGAATTTGATGATAAAATGAAGGTTTCGGAGTGTGATTTCCATTCAAAATCAAAAATTCAAATTGTAAGTTGTAGTAGGGTACTGCCTGGTGGGGTTTTGGCCAATTTCGAAGTAGAGTGTTTGAGATTTTTGAAAAATAATCGAATTTTTGCGGTTTTTTAAGGGTAAAATAGCACACTGAGCACGGGGCGGCAAGTTAAACCTTTTCTCTCTCATCCTTGCCGTGACCGATCTGAACTTTTAGTATGTATTAACCTGGTATAAGATGTGACTTTTCTGAAATTTTCATGCCCATACAAAATGTTTTGCCCCCCGCGGCAGCATTGCCAAGTTGCGGACTCAAAAATATCGAATTTGATGATAAAATGAAGGTTTCGAGGTGTGATTTCCTCCAAAATTTCACGAAAAATGCGCAATCTGAGGGTTTTCGATAAGAAAAGGCATATTTGAACAATTTAAAGTTGCAGTGTTGCCAGCTTTCGATTTAAAATTCGTCAAAATGACCCAAATCGCGTTGCAACCTCAAGCGCTGGATTTTTATTTCGTTCAGAATTGGTTATTACGGTTCTTCTGTACTCTATGCATTTAGGTACCATGAAAATTATGCCATTACTTACTTGATGGGTGCAGCTAACTCAAAAAGAGAGGCCGGATAAAGCGATGAGTCGGGGGAAAACGAGCGGTTCGGGTTGACAGAAAGTTCTTAAATCTACTCCATCACCAGAAAGTAGAATTTGAGAACTTTCTCCCACCCCCCAAACCTTATCCCTGTTGCAGTCAATCCTTTGAACTTCTTATCTGAAATTTTGCCCCCGAATTTTTCTCAAAAACATGAAAAATAAAAACACAAATAAAATGGGTGGATAACAACGATTCAAATAACGCTATGAAGTCCCTGAATTCGACCTCCTCTCATACAGCGGATTGGATAGTTCGAATCCAGAAGACTTCTTACTGTAAAGAAAATACCTTCGACAATTTAAAGAATAAAAAAATTACAAAAGATCACAATAAATTTGAGTAATGTTGAAAGAAAAAAAATAAACTAGATGACGAAATTATGACTTTTCATGATCGGAACAAACCTGATGGAGTCCATCTAAATTCAAGAGGCCTCTTAATCATCTGGAATCTCATGCAACAGAGTTTGCCATGAATGGTATGTTTCCTTATTTAGTCCAGAAATATTTTATTTTTCGGAATGTCAAACATGTCTTATACAACCAAAAATTTACAAAGCATTTTTAATTTCGTCATCTAGTTTAATTAGGGAAAAATTCGGGGGCAAAATTTCAGATAAGATGTTCAAAGGATTGACTGCAACAGGGATAAGGTTTGGGGGGTGGGAGAAAGTTCTCAAATTCTACTTTCTGGTGATGGAGTAGATTTAAGAACTTTCTGTCAACCCGAACCGCTCGTTTTCCCCCGACTCATCGCTTTATCCGGCCTCTCTTTTTGAGTTAGCTGCACCCATCAAGTAAGTAATGGCATAATTTTCATGGTACCTAAATGCATAGAGTACAGAAGAACCGTAATAACCAATTCTGAACGAAATAAAAATCCAGCGCTTGAGGTTGCAACGCGATTTGGGTCATTTTGACGAATTTTAAATCGAAAGCTGGCAACACTGCAACTTTAAATTGTTCAAATATGCCTTTTCTTATCGAAAACCCTCAGATTGCGCATTTTTCGTGAAATTTTGGAGGAAATCACACTCCGAAACCTTCATTTTATCATCAAATTCGATATTTTGGAGTCCGCAACTTGGCAACGCTGCCGCGGGAGCAAAAAAAATTGTATGGGCATGAAAATTTCAGAAAATTCCCATCTTATACCAGGTAAAAACATACTAAAAATTCAGATCGGTCAAAGCAAAGATGAGGGAGAGGAGGTTTAATTTGTCGCCCCGAGGCCAATTTTGCTATTTTACCCCTAAAAAACCACAAAAATGCGATTATTTTTCGAGGAGCTCCGACAACCTATTTCGAAATTGCCCAAAAACCCATCAAGGGGTACCCCACTACAACCTCCAACTTGAATTTTTGATGTACAACAAAGTCGCATTTAAAGTGGGTTCAGGGGCACCGTGCTCAGAGAGTAAAACTAATTGATTTTACGTATCCAAAATATATTATGACTCTGCGGCAGTTTTTGCTAGCTGGAACATTCAAACATCAGTGGCCCCAAAAGATATTACTCCAATGGGTCTATTGCACGCCAAATATACAACCATGTTAATAGACTTTTTAGGGGTAAAGTGGCATGAAAATCACGATGATGATAATAATTTCATCAAGTTTTGTAAATCAATGTTTGTATAAATGTATTAAGTAATATTGCACAGCCATTTTCATATTTTTTACTTATCACCATACTTATTTCTTATTTCACAGTGTTCACAGACTCAAAGTAAATTGAACGAAGTAGTTAACAAAATTCAAGCTCGCAAGAGTGGGAAAGTTGAAACTCCAGAAGCTGAAATTTTTTCTAGTCCACGAGAAAGGAGGCCCTTTTTAACGCAAGACTTTGTTTTTGGAATGGAATGTTTGAATCCTTCATTATCTTTTGGTGAGAGATACAGCCTGCTGTTTTATGGGCCTGTCATTGTCAACTTCATAACTAAAATCCACTACAATGTGGTCAGTCAAATAGCAACTAGGTCATATGGACCTCAATCTTATTCTCTAATCGTTGCTCTTTTGATGTACAGGCGTAACTCTATTTATGGATAAGCCCTATTATACATTTAACTTCCTCCTTCCAGGGGCTCATGTGAAAATTGAGATACACCTTCATATCAGAGGAGCACTGAAATGTCATAAAGTAGGTGGAAATAATAAATTTTAAGAGCAAATGGAAGGCTGTTAAACTAACAGAGTGCTTTTGTCTGTTGGATATTAAAAAAACGAAAAATCAAAAGGAAAGAAAAAAACCATGGTTGAGTTAATATTGTCACTTAATTAATAATTTTGGTTTAATTTACTAAATATTAAATATTCATCTCAGCATTTACGTTTGTCTGCAAAATTATTTGAATTTGGCAAGTAGTAAAAAAACTACCATGAGTGCCTCCTAAAGCTCCCAACTGCACTTATGAAACACATGTTCCATGTTATTTTTGTAGGGATGTTACCCTACATTCCGTCTTGCATTAGACACAGGATAAGTTTGAAATATGATGCTCCAAAATTCTTGGAAAAGTTGTTAAAAAGTCCACAATTTTTTTATTTGTCAACATGACGTACATAGCTACTCTATTCAGCAATTTACATCAAGGATTTTTTCAGTGGGAAAAAGTCAAAAATCTTCCTATGCGATCAGGACATTAACGTTTGCTTTTCTTCTTCAGATGACGTGCCTCCTCAGTCTCAAAAATTTCATCTTATATCAGATGTCCTGTGGTGCATGCTGGGTTGCAGTGGCAAATATATAACTGTGAATCCCATCACAGAACCATGGGAGTTACCTACTTTTGATATTCCAGAAAATATTGGTGCGTAAACTTTTGACACATTTCATTATATTCTGCCGTAGTCCTATGTCAAGTAAAGCAGTGGGTGTGGGATGGAGTCAGGTGAGCGGGACATTTCACTGTTTAAGGGCTGATTGGCCTGGACAAGCCTGAGGTATATGTATGAGCGAAGGTACCTTAGTAATACCCTTTAGCAATACCCCAAGCCAATCACTGACTCCCTAGGTCCTCATTCGTACATTACAAACTGCAATTTGTTTTATTTTTTGACACCCACCCACTCCTTTGAACATATTTGTAATGCTGGTCCAGACACCTATAAAAAAATTATGTAACATTTCCCTTGACACCCCCCCCCCTTTCACAGAGAAGAAACTTTAGTTAGTATGATCTCCGTAAGTTGGCAAAGGTATTAAATGAAATTCAAAGATTGGGTAAATGGATATGCATATTTGAAGCACTAGGTAAATTAAGAAGTATATGTAGTTGAAGAGAAATGTTCTGAAGGTACAAAGCCAAATACATACTGTTGAGCTTGACATCCTGAAGGGAATCAGGAAGGGATCAGCCCTGAGAGGTGTCAGAAATTCAGCCAAATAGCATAAGAATCACTTTTCCACAAGGTTCTTTGGATTCCTTTCATATTGTGTATTATTTGCAGATATTTCATCAAAAAATCTCCTGAACCAAATTTTGCCCATGGCAGCTCACCATTCTGTGATCGCTCGGTTCTTAGCTGAGGTAAAGCAATTGAGTGCTGGTCGCATTAACCAAGCCCTGGCTGCAGCTATTACTTTGCTCATGACAGACTATAAGGTAAGAACCTTTTAATTACTATTTTGTAGGAAGAAGAAGCTCAGCAGTAAAGTACAAATGTAACGAACAAAGGAGACAAGAGGAAAATGTTATCAACGTACAAAAGAAAAAGATTTCTAAAACTGCCTAATTGAGCATAGAGGAGCAACAATACTGCCATGATAAGCCTAGTTAATTGTTTTCAATACTTGGAACACTCAGAAATAACTTTTTTCAATGGTGCAAAATTCATTTTTTAAAACTTGAATAGTTTTCCAATGGGGAGTGGAATGAATTCAACACTGTGTTGCAGAAAAATGTTGAGCAAAATCGGTGCTTTCAGGATTGCTTAGTACAAAGGGAAGGGCAATCTCATCGTGAAGAAGTTTAATAAAACTCATATTTGTAATTCTCCTCTTCGACTTAAGCTATAATTTAGTCAAATGATGTATTCTCAACGATGTTTCCATACCAACAGTCCACAGTGCTTTCTTTTATTATTCAACTGCATTTAAAAAGACAATTTTTGGGATGTCTTTTAGCTTTGGCATCGTTTGATAATGTCGTGGTTTGATGGCATTATATCTTTATTCAATCAATAATTTCAGTTTTTCCAGCCATTTCATCTTTTTTTGGCAAAACAGTGCTTTGCCAGATCTTTCGAGAACCAAGATCCTCGCTAGCAAAGCAGTTCTTTGCTAAAGAAACAAGAAATGGCAAGCAAATTTAAGAATATTGGTCGAACAACACATAGTCATGAAGTGATCTTAGTCTCGGCTCGTATCTTCATTATTGCAGGTCTTTGTGGTGCAAATGGAAACTCTACTGAATCAGCAGCAATTGCAACTTGAAAAACTATGGTATTATGTTTATCCCGTCCTTCATCCTGTGTCTATTCTCTCCAAAATATCTCAGCATATGGGCAGTGTAAGTTTCTACTTTAAACTCACCTGTACATGGATACCGTTGCATTAGGAAACCTTTTTGGAGTCTTCCCACTCTTCACTTATCATGAATTCATGAATAGCTTGTACAAATACTTTAGGAGAAGCTACTTAAATACTTAAGGAGAATTATTTTATCCTAGGTATCTTAAAATTTCAGCACTAATATCGAATAATTTAATAAATTAATCAATGAAAGCTTAATGAAACTAATGAATTACTCATTAATCTATCAGTGACATAAAATCCCGGCAGGGTATCTGACAGTTGTGCCCCATGTGATATCTCTTGAAAAAACAGAAACGTCCATCAAAAAATGTAGAAAAGCACTTTTAAGAGGAGAAACAGCTTATCAAAGTCTGACCAACCAGAGGCCAACAGTCATGATAGCGTATTTAGGCCATGTCTTTGGCTAGGCTTCAGCTAATCAAAAAATGCGGACTTCCTCACCTGTCCATATCGTAACAGACCGCCAAAAATGTCGTTTTAATGAGTCCAGATTTCAGCTACTTCAAAATACATTTTTTCCATCATTTTGAGTGAAGAAAATCCAACAAAATTTCTGAGAGCTTTACTCACTCAATTACTTCTCATGTATTTGCTTTGAATCATTATCAAATCATAGATGAATAGGAAACGTTGAGGAAGAAACAATAAATATTTGAAGAACAATCAATGAATTTGAATTTATCACCGCTTTAATTTTCAGACGAAAACATTCGGAGGCAAGACTCTTAGTGTTTTACACGATGAGCTCTCAATGACAACTTCAGACACTCAATCTACCGAAATCTGTTTGTACCTGTTGAAAAGTGCCTCCGTTCCATTTTTTGTCTCCCTTGAAAAGTGGATCAACAAAGGCAGAGTTTTTGATCCATTCAATGAGGTTAGTAAATTTTGTCTATGCATGTGTTATTCTAAGAAGGTCTTTTATAAGATCAATCCGCATAAGTCAGTAATAAATTCTTTCAGACGCATTTTGAAACTCTACTGGAAATTAACAAAAGGATGTTTAAATGCAATGCATTCCTCAGGGGATCATTTCATGATGAGGTATTTCTACATCATACAAGCTATTGTGAGCAGGAGCAGAGGAGTGGATCTCAAAACAGATACGTAATGACAGACCTGTCAGAAAACGTATGGTTTTGGTCCATCTCTTAGTGAAAATTGACAAGATATCATAATGTATGCAATATTAGTATTTTGAAAGAAATCAGGCTATTTTTTATACTGTACTAACCACTAAACCTATTCTCAATTTATAAGTGTTTGTTTCAGTTTATGATAATAGACAACATAGATATTGAAAGTTGTTCCTTTATGAACAAGGGTGAATGCTACGATGAGTATTGGACAACAAGGTACATGATCCGAAAAGATTTTGTACCTACCTTTCTGGAGAAAGTGGCAGAGAAAATACTCCGTACTGGAAAATATCTCAACGTTATCAGGCTGTGCAGTAAGTACCTGTTTCTCTTCCTTTGCCTGTCATTAATACTTTCCTGTCATTAAGCAAAAGCTATCCATCTACTTTAAGGAACTCTAAGAATATTATATTTTCGCATCAGAATGCTTCACGTAACATGGGTTTTTACAAATTTGTTCCTTACAGTGCAATTATAGTCATGTAACCAAGCACAATATTCAGGGCAAACAGGCTTTAAATTCGGTGGAAAAGAATAATTTACTAATTTCTGTCGTAAAAGTATTAATTTTTTGTTATTATGCTAATGAAGATTATAAAACCACTTTTTTACTTTATCTATTTTTTATATTTATTTATTTATCTAAATTCAGAAAATCAGACACAAAAAAGACACACTTACCTCTTTGATTTTCTCTCAATTAATTGAATGTAAAGAAAGTGACTCATGACCGTGAGTACAATACTTTTTCGTAAGAAACTTCATAAAAACGAAACTTTAGTCGAAGGTAGCACAAAAGGAAAAACTTATATTTATGGCTAAAGTGCAAAACTATGCATCTTCGTTCGGGACGTCGCAGCCTTCCTGTTAAACGTTATTCATTCCTAGGAAAATTCGTCAACGTAATTTCTTGAAAACTTCCTCAATCCTTCTCTGTTTTCTTTCATTTTGATTAAGGAAAATAGGAGCGGAAAGCTTGATACATTGCAATGTAAGAGTGTAGTTTCCATCTTTGGCCATTAATATATGGAAGAAATGCCATGATTAGAATTTCAACTCAAAATGAAGGAAGTAAAACGAAATTGATAGAGATAAAAATGCAAATCACCATCTAATAAGGCTTCTTATTTTCACTCTTCAATTTAAGCCCCGAAATGTGAAACTACTCTAAAACTTCAAAATATCACAACTTTGTCCCTTTTTTCAATCTTTTCATTTTGCTCTTCAAAAAAAAGTAAAACAACTGCAAATTTCTGTGTTCAAATTAAAATTTATAGTCGCTCTGGAATTAAGTGTGAGAAATTCTCCATACTAATCATTCACATGTTTGCTCAAACATTTTCTTCGTCTTTTAGAAAATAAGAAGGTAAAAGAAATGCTTCCACCTCCAATAGAAGGCCTAGCGTACGAAGCGACCAACAAATCGTACTTGAAAGCTATCGACACAGCTTATGACTTCGCAAGCAGTGCCTTACTTAAGCTGGTTATGGAAGAATATGACCTTGTCAACAGAATCAAGTAAGTTAAACTGTTGTAAAATAAGCAGTGGTGACAACTGGTCAGAATTAACCAGAATCACTCCCCTGACATCAAACGTTGCCTAATTTTCTCAGATGTTTCAATTTTTAAAGGGAAAAGCAAGCAACACTGAAGCTTAAGATTGTGTGAGTATATTCTTCTTAATTGAGAGTTAATTCTCATTGCGTTTAAAGAAGCTGAGTGGTTCAGTTCTTTGTTGAAGGAATAAAACATGAGAGAAAATTGGGAATTATAAAATGGGTTACATTTTGCAACAAGGAACCACTATCTCTGGCTCTTCCAGGAAAGCACCTATCTACAGAGGGAAACCAATGGTATATACTTTGTTTCTCAAAAGAGCCAGAAATATTGGCTCCTTATTGCAAAATGTGGCCAAAATTCAGTTAGGTTGATTCTGTCCATTCGACCTTTGTCTCTCTTTAATTGTTGCTCTCTGAATCATCTTATGTCTAAGTTTCTTGAAAACAGAAGGTAATGTAAGAACAATTTCAAAATAATTCTCCAGCTTTTTCGACAGCGATCTTTTCCCAATACTATGAGTGCTGATTTTATGAATCCACGAAAAGAAAGGAAAAGAGAGTCGCCCAATTTTCTGTCTGTCAGTATAATTGAATCAGTGCGAACGAAAACGCACCAACCCGAAAAAATGAAAATAATTAAGACATACACATAACTGCACAGTAAATGAAGAATTTGGTCTGAGAAAGAGATTTTTGGTGCTGAGAGACAAGTACTTAAAGACATTTTAAAGGTCCAAATTGGAACAGATGCGGTAACTTCCATGACCTCCATACAAATTGACTGTCTTCAATGAAAATTGAGCATTTTTGAGTCATCGAGTTGGTGTGTTTTCGTTCTCGCTTATTCAATTTCATAAAAGTCAAGTTCGTTCTGGAAGATCCGGCGTCATCATCCACCTAATGTAATCCAAAATTTGAAGATCAGCGGTAAATTGAACAATTCTCTTTTTTCCCAGCGAAAATGGCGCTTCAGGTCATATGATAATTTCACTGTATTGTAGCCTTCTTTTTCATAGAATTCAAAATAAAATTAAGTTATTTTTGTCTTTAAAGATTTTACTCAGCCCTTTTACAGCCATAAAACGGTTTTGGAGCATGGTTAATTGTTATACTCCGGAAAGGCCATTGTTGTCTCGTAAAGGTCTGTATCTATTTTGTTTATTAGCCTGTGTTAGGAATGCACTTTCCGGTTTCATTCAGTCTACTGAAATACTCTCTCTTTTTTTTCTAGAACTGCAAAACGGTACTTCACGCTTGAGCAGGGTGATTTTTTCGTTCTGCTGATGGACTCAAGTGAGGCTGAGCTACTTAAACCCCTTGATGATGTCGATCCCAATCGGTTAGAACTGTTGTTAGAACTGTCGGTCCGTTTGTGCTCTGGTGCTAAGACGGACCCTTACAAAGATGACATTTGTATGGTACTTCATCGCTGCCAATTTTATTTCCAGCTTTTACGCATTTTCAACATCGGTAATGAGCAAAAAGAAGCTGGTATGTACTTTTCATAGTTGTATTTTCTTTAGTGTTTTCAATGAAAGATTAAAATGTTTTTGCAACAAATTGAGACTGGATTTTAGAGTAAGAGCTTTTCAGAACCGAGAATTCATGACCACAAGGGCTGCCCTAGAAGGTTGATCAATGGTGAAAGTACGAAATGATGTATCTCAATTTGCGACATCGGAGGCCTCTTGTGGCATTTCAATATTTGGCAGAATGATTCAGTCTCATGATTCACGTAATTCTACTTCATTTTCTCAGGCCCTTTCAAAAATATTCTCCAAAAATTTAATACAAGTACGCCCAGTGATGTTCCTCCAAAAAGGATGAGGTTGTAGCAGAAATTTTAAAACACCATAATCAAAGTTTGTAGTTTCGTAGTTACATTGAAAAAAACTGCAGCTCATAAAATGCGATTCAATAGTGGGGGAAAAACCAAGGGGAAAAGGAATGAAACGTAGGGTCTTTTGATTTTGATGAACTGTAAATTTTATATGCAATTTTGTACAAGTAATCAATGTGCCTTCCTTAATTTTCCAGAGTTCCAAAATATGAAAGAACAAAAAAGTCAAACCGGCTTGGAGGCATTTTCAATAGGACTTAAAGTTAAATGGCCTATGTCACTTGTTTTCAACCAGCGAGTCCTCTACTTCTACCAGATGATCTTTCGATTACTACTTGTTTGCAAACACAATGAGAGACAACTGTGCAGGTAACTATCATTATTTTCCTATAATAAAATTGACAGCAATTTTTCTGAACTTCTCTGGAATGGACCTTTAGATAAGGAACAAATTTGAGCATTCTGATATATTTACCCTCTTCAAAATTTCACGTGGAACACCATTTTCGGAGCAACAATCACGAAAATTAACTCTCAAACAGGGGGGAAAAACAATGAATCTCCTGCTTCCAGGAAAAACCAAAATCTACTTGATGAATCAAATCGCACATCACAATGATCTTGGCAGGCCTCCTAATCAAGCAGTATTCCTTCTTTGCCCAGTGTTGTTTAAAGTGTAAACAACGTGCAGTGGCTAAGCCGAATAGCTGATATTGAGGTTGAGCAGAAACTTTACACTCAGGCATAGATAAATGTTAATATGTTGAGAAGGAGTTACTATCACTAATTTTTTATGTACAAATTGTTATCTATGTGAAATTCTGAAGAGAAAACATTCATCATATTTCTCAAGTTTGCACCTTATCCAGTAGTCTACTCTTATTTTGCCATCAATGATGCTGTCATTGTATTATTGTTTTTATGAGAATCACAGATCTTCCACTCTACAAAGAGGGCAAGAGTACTATTTCACAACTCCTTTCTAGGAACAAATCTTGATATTTTCGAATAATTAGTCGCTGAAAATACCAACAGCAATATCGTTGAGTTATGAATGAAATTTCATAACCATTTCTGCAATGGTGACCGCAATAGTTCCACAGAAATATCAACAAAGAAAATATATAGAAGTAGTAAAAATTAAAATTCAGGCAAAAAATAGCACCAAAAGTGTTTGTACTTAATATTGCATGATTGACTCAATAATATTTTCGCCTGCAGAGTTTGGATCTATGATAAAGGCGTAAAGATGTTGGACAAACAAAGTCGGCAAGGATACCAGAGGGCTTTTTCTTTACGGCGAAGGATGTTATTCTTCATTCAAAACTTCACTTTTTATATTACGGAAGAAGTTATCGAACCAAATTTCAATGTCTTCATGGAAGAATTAACACAGGTAAGCTTAAATTTGTCTGAAATTTCATCGCTTCACTCAAAATATGTAGCCTCAACTGGATAGAGGCCAAAGATGCAGTAAGTTAATTTTGCATAATTTATTTCCTCTCTCTCCTGGCTTTTTTTTATTATTATTTCAGGGGAAATACAAGGGGCGATATATTGCTCTTTGTATTCAATGTTAAAATATCTATCCAAAAAATGGATCAGTTGCGCTGGTCTTAAAATCGTGTTTTGATGCTTGATTCTTGTAGATCACCTAAAAATAATAGGATCTGTCCCAACACCAACTTTCTGTGTTCAATATCAACTTAGATATTGTGCTTTGAAAAGAGGATTTTTTATGTCATCCATCGCAGTAGTGACACCCTTGGCTCCCTCCACCTTGTTTTCATCAGTCAGTGTGATGCACATATGCACTGGCTACTCAATGTGAAACTAGGATGAAAGCAAGGTGGAAGAAACCGAGGATGTCGCTACCGCGCACGGTGCCCCTGAACTCACTTTAAATGCGACTTTGTTGTACATCAAAAATTCAAGTTGGAGGTTGTAGTGGGGTACTCCCTGATGGGTTTTTGGGCAATTTCGAAATAGGTTGTCGGAGCTCCTCGAAAAATAATCGCATTTTTGTGGTTTTTTAGGGGTAAAATAGCAAAATTGGCCTCCGGGCGACAAATTAAACCCCCTCTCCCTCATCCTTGCCTTGACCGATCTGAATTTTTAGTATGTTTTTACCTGGTATAAGATGGGACTTTTCTGAAATTTTCATGCCCATACAAATTTTTTTGCTCCCGCGGCAGCGTTGCCAAGTTGCGGACTCCAAAATATCGAATTTAATGATAAAATGAAGGTTTCGGAGTGTGATTTCCATTCAAAATCAAAAATTCAAATTGTAAGTTGTAGTAGGGTACTGCCTGATGGGGTTTTGGCCAATTTCGAAGTAGAGTGTTTGAGATTTTTGAAAAATAATCGAATTTTTGCGGTTTTTTAAGGGTAAAATAGCACACTGAGCACGGGGCGGCAAGTTGAACCTTTTCTCTCTCATCCTTGCCGTGACCGATCTGAACTTTTAGTATGTATTAACCTGGTATAAGATGTGACTTTTCTGAAATTTTCATGCCCATACAAAATTTTTTGCCCCCCGCGGCAGCGTTGCCAATTTGCGGACTCAAAAATATCGAATTTGATGATAAAATGAAGGTTTCGAGGTGTGATTTCCTCCAAAATTTCACGAAAAATGTGCAATCTGAGAGTTTTCGATAAGAAAAGGCATATTTGAACAATTTAGAGTTGCAGTGTTGCCAGCTTTTGATTTAAAATTCGTCAAAATGACCCAAATCGCGTTGCAACCTCGAGCGCTGGATTTTTATTTCGTTCAGAATTGGTTATTACGGTTCTTCTGTACTCTATGCATTTAGGTACCATGAAAATTATGCCATTACTTACTTGATGGGTGCAGCTAACTCAAAAAGAGAGGCCGGATAAAGCGATGAGTCGGGGGAAAACGAGCGGTTCGGGTTGACAGAAAGTTCTTAAATCTACTCCATCACCAGAAAGTAGAATTTGAGAACTTTCTCCCACCCCCCAAACCTTATCCCTGTTGCAGTCAATCCTTTGAACATCTGATCTGAAATTTTGCCCCCGAATTTTTACCAAAAACATGAAAAATAAAAACACGTTTTTGTGCAAAAACACATCATGTTTTTGGTAAAAATTCGGGGGCAAAATTTCAGATCAGATGTTCAAAGGATTGACTGCAACAGGGATAAGGTTTGGGGGGTGGGAGAAAGTTCTCAAATTCTACTTTCTGGTGATGGAGTAGATTTAAGAACTTTCTGTCAACCCGAACCGCTCGTTTTCCCCCGACTCATCGCTTTATCCGGCCTCTCTTTTTGAGTTAGCTGCACCCATCAAGTAAGTAATGGCATAATTTTCATGGTACCTAAATGCATAGAGTACAGAAGAACCGTAATAACCAATTCTGAACGAAATAAAAATCCAGCGCTCGAGGTTGCAACGCGATTTGGGTCATTTTGACGAATTTTAAATCAAAAGCTGGCAACACTGCAACTCTAAATTGTTCAAATATGCCTTTTCTTATCGAAAACTCTCAGATTGCACATTTTTCGTGAAATTTTGGAGGAAATCACACCTCGAAACCTTCATTTTATCATCAAATTCGATATTTTTGAGTCCGCAAATTGGCAACGCTGCCGCGGGGGGCAAAAAATTTTGTATGGGCATGAAAATTTCAGAAAAGTCACATCTTATACCAGGTTAATACATACTAAAAGTTCAGATCGGTCACGGCAAGGATGAGAGAGAAAAGGTTCAACTTGCCGCCCCGTGCTCAGTGTGCTATTTTACCCTTAAAAAACCGCAAAAATTCGATTATTTTTCAAAAATCTCAAACACTCTACTTCGAAATTGGCCAAAACCCCATCAGGCAGTACCCTACTACAACTTACAATTTGAATTTTTGATTTTGAATGGAAATCACACTCCGAAACCTTCATTTTATCATTAAATTCGATATTTTGGAGTCCGCAACTTGGCAACGCTGCCGCGGGAGCAAAAAAATTTGTATGGGCATGAAAATTTCAGAAAAGTCCCATCTTATACCAGGTAAAAACATACTAAAAATTCAGATCGGTCAAGGCAAGGATGAGGGAGAGGGGGTTTAATTTGTCGCCCGGAGGCCAATTTTGCTATTTTACCCCTAAAAAACCACAAAAATGCGATTATTTTTCGAGGAGCTCCGACAACCTATTTCGAAATTGCCCAAAAACCCATCAGGGAGTACCCCACTACAACCTCCAACTTGAATTTTTGATGTACAACAAAGTCGCATTTAAAGTGAGTTCAGGGGCACCGTGCGCGGTGGATGATGTCATAAACCAAATTTTTCAAAGCGCAATATCTCAGTCAATGTTGAACATAGAAAGTTGCTGTTTGGACAGATTTTATTATATTTAGGTGACAAAAATCAAGCATCAAAACACGATTTTGTGACCAGCACAACTGACCCATAAAACCAGGTTTCTATGTTTGCAATGTTAATGACTTCCTGTCGTATTTTATGTTTTCTTTGGGAAACTAGTGAAAGTAATTACTTAAAAACCTTGATTTTTCTCCACTGTCAGGAAAGTATTCTGTATGAATTTCAACTCATAAAGTTGGCTTGTTTTTCTTTGATTAAATTAAATAGGAGCGAGAAATTCAAAATATCGAAATAAGGTATGTCATTTCGCTCTTTGGCAATCGACATACAGTTCCAATAAAGGAAATGGTTACTCAAAATTTTTACTTTCAATGAAATACTGTTTCTGGCATATAACAAGAGACTAGCCACATCACTCAAGGAAGAAAAAAAATTCCATCTAGTCAATAATAAATATTATTGTAATCGTAAAAATCATTTAGTGGAAAAGACATTTTCGGTAAAAAAGAAAAAGAAAGGTACACTCATAAATATTATTAAATCTTATCACAAAAAGCATTCATTTCGATTATGGTAAAACAAAATATTAAAAGCAATCGAAAATTGATCTTTAACTTTTCAAGATCTGAACGTTAGGTATACCTAAGAGTAAAAGAGAGAAAAAACTCTCTCCTGAGTATATCCATGATCACAATTTTTCAGGTATTTACAACTATAAGCAGAGAAAAATCCACCATAACGTTCCAAGGAAATGTACATTTTTCATTCTTTGGAAGCTCAAAAATCAATTAATTCTGTTTCGCAAGAGATACCTATTTTTTTTTTAAATCTCAAGAAAGCACTGGTCAGGTTCAGGATTCATGAACCCGATGGCTGAAATTGAAATGGAGGCCTCTGTCTTAATCTAGAGCTTTAATAATGAGTTTCTTTTATTTGGCTTCAGAGATGGAAAAAATCAGAGATGATGTCCCGCCAGCACAGGAAAAGTTCAATAGCATTCACTCAGAAATTTGAAAAAATATTGACTTTTCTAAATTGCTTCATAAATAAAAGCTTAAATTGGTCAAGTTTCTCTTAAATATAAGTATTTTTATGAAAAATACGCATCAACAAAATTTTCAAAGCCTGCGTGCACTTTTATTGAAATTTTTAAGTATAAATAAATTGCCTTGGCTTGGGGAGGACTTATGAAGTTATGAATGACTGTATTACCCTTGCGTAGATCTAGCTTTGAAACGGCATGTTCAGTAGGAAACAATCAGTCATTTAAGTCAGTTATTTTTTTAAATGGTTTCTGTAAAGTATTCATCGTACATTAAAAAAACTAGTTTTTATCAGACACTTCTCTGTGACGAGTGAAAGTTCAGTAACTAACTGCCCTCCTTCTCCTGTATTAATATTCTCATCTTTATATTTCTAAAATTCTCTGTTTTTTTTTTGTTTTGTTTTAATAATGATTTAATTGACAACACTGAAATAACACAAGCATTAAGAATAGGTACAGCTTCAATGTGGACTTAGTATGAAACAAAAAGGAATGTTAAGTCTGTTTTGCAACAATGATCTCTAGTTGAGTTCGAATTACAAGAAGAGATTACTTTCAGCAACAGATTGTACAAATTAATCTGAGTCAGAAGATGATTTTTTACTTTTCTTCTTCAGTAAAGAAAAGATTTCTCCTAAAAGTTTCTGCGACTCTTGTGTGGCAGTCTCCAACCGTTGGAGTCTCTGTCCGTACTCGTCTAATTTTTTCTTGTTCTCAAGCTGAAGCAATTCCATTTTATCCGTGTCCTCGTTCTGTTTATTCAAAATCTCCTTTGCTGCTTTGACGATGGATCCCTCCATCATGAAATTCTGACAAGTAGCAAAACATGAAGACTCGTAACTATCGAGATCCTGTCGTTTTCTGCGATGCCCGGTTTGTGCAAGGTCCACCTTGTTTTCCTGGTTCGGCAAAACATGAATCTCGTAATCAGGAATCGAGTCGGGGAATAAGTTGGTACGGCGGGAGAAAATGCGCGCTAGGTGCCGGTTCGAATTGCATGCAAAAAACGAGTCCGGAACGCAGCAGCACATGGATTTAAGTTGTGCTGCAAAGCCTCGAATTGGGACGGGATTTCCAAGAGCCATTGTCTCGATGTAGGAAATGAGTTTAACCCGCGAAACATGACCAACCAGCTCTGCATCGGCACGTATTTCTTGCGTATCGCTGACTGCCAAACCATTGAGCAGGTTAAATAATACGATGGCGATCAGGAAAACAAAGAGAACAAATAGGATGTGACTTGTTCCAGGGTTTGAGCCAAAAGGTATAGAACCTGAGTCAAACTCACCAGTCAACATGACAACGGTTTTAAAAATGGACATCCCTGGGTCCAAGAAGTTACTATCCTCCGTACCGGCATCTTTAAATAGCGAGTAAAAGCTCAGAGCAAAGGCCAAAATAAGTATTGAGTACCAAGCTAAGAACTTGAGGAAATTGTTCGACACCGTTTTGAACATCTCAATATTTGTGGACAACGAAGGGTGCCGTCCAATAAGTAGAACTAGCTCGCCCCATGATAGAAGTATCCCGATGGCAGATGTCTGATTGCGAGAGTTCCTGGTTGGATTGCCAAACAGGATCATGGCAGTTACGATAATGAGGAATATCTCTAACCAGTTTTCGATTGTTATAATATAGCGCACAGGTGAAACAAACAACTGGAACAATTCCCGTAATACTAATATCCCAAGTAAGATGGCAAGAGCGCACCACAAAAGACTTAGATCTGATTTTGTTTTAAGTGGAGGGAAAGAGTCCCAGCTGCCGGTCTTATTTTCTACGTTCAGATCTAAGTTGCCACTCCCGGAGTCATAAAATCCGAGGATGTATACTGTCAAAAGTAACCAAAATGAGGCATAAAATGCCAAGTTATAATAGAAAAACCTCCGAATCGAATACCATTTAAGGTTTACAAAACTGGTCAAAACAGGATGAATTAATAATGGCCGTAGCTCAGGAGATCTGCTCATGTAGAGCAAGGGATCTGTTTCTGATGTTGGTAATACTGCTTTATCATTTGATTCAACATCCTCTATGGCATTGGAGTTGCTTTTTCCATGTATTGGTACCTTTGGTGGGACTAAGAAGTTGTATTTAAAGATAATCTCAAAGTTATCTTCTCGTGGTAACTTATCGTTTGTACCTACACATTGATCCATGTATGCCTCCAAAATTTTTGGAGGCAAATCAGCCAACGCAGGCTCACCAAACACATTTCTGGTCCCAATGTAAGCTCCATGGTCAAGGAGCAAGAAAATAAGATCTTGATTACCAGTTTTGGCCGCGTAGTGTAGAACCGTGTTGCCTTTCAGATCACCCTGGTTGATGTTCAACTGATTTGCCGGTGCATTTCGCAGAATCACCTTCAAACACTTAAAATAGTCACGACCCTCGTTGGTTGCACCCAAAAATGATGCATTCTCTGAGGTTGAATTTTTGATGACTGTTTGAAGAATGGACTCTTCGTTCACTGGCGCAAGTGAAACTGCATCATTGCCAATGAGAAGCTGGACTATCTTGTAGTATCCTTGTTTACAAGCTAGCACCAAGCCAGTTTTGCTGTTTGTTGCACACGTGGCATTAACATCTGCACCACATCTTACCAAAAGTGCAACAAAATCATACAAGCCAAACTCGCAAGCATACTGAAGAAATGTGTGGTCGCCGTCATCAGCGTTTACTAATTTTGGATCCTCTTTTATAAGCTTTGCAAATGAGTCTAAATCGTGCTGGCGCAAGTATGAAAACAACTTAGATACTTTGTCACTCTTATCATCAGCTGAATGCTCTTTTGGACTTGGCAAACTTGAAACTAAGTCAGGCAACCTATCAGTTATTAACTCTCTAATAGATTCTCCTGAAAGTGTTTTTATGGAATCAATATCAATATCAGGATGTTTTAATAGCTCAGAGACTATTGTTTTATTCTCCTTTAATATAGCTAGTTGAATTGCAGTTTGATTTTTCTTATTCAAGGCATTCACTCGAATTTTCCTGTGGTTCAGGAGTGTTTTAACCTGATCCAACTTTTCAAGGCGACATGCAGAATGCAAAGCAGTTCCGCCTGTATTATCTAGGATATTCACGTCAATATTAGGACTGTCTAGCAAATACTGTAGGGTTTTGATATCGGACAGCTCCACTGCAAAGTGTAATGGTGCTTTTTTACGCGTTTTGTTCACCTGGTTCACATTTGCCCCATTTTGAACCAGAATCCGCACAAAGTCTGAATAGTTCAGGGCTTGGCATGCGATATCAAGCAATGTTCCGTAATGTGGATCATCGTAAACGTGATTGATGTCGAAGTTGCCCGTGGCTGTGAGGCTCCTCAAGTGTTTTTCAAAGCCCTCGATATCGGAGTCTTGAAGTGCGATGTAGACCAGGGAGTAAGGATTGGGTGTGCAGAAACCACTCTGCTCCTTGGGCTTGAGTTCCAAATCATCAGCCATTTTTACATTCGATTTTCCTGAAACAAAACAAGAAATAATGAAGAAAATTAAAATATTACTCCGAAACAATAATTTTTCAAGAACTTTCATTTATATAAAAATTTTGGCGCGATAGCAGCGCGTCGTTTCGAGTTTCGCGCTTTGATAGTCGATCAGGGCCGGATTAAGGGGGTGGCCACATGGGCCGCGGCCCATGGCGGCAAATTTAGGGGGGCGGCAAGTGTTGTAATTTTTTCAAATGTAGGTATCAAGAAAAAAAATCTGATTTAGAAAAACAAATTACAAACGAGAAAAGACGAAAAAAGCTCTCATTTCCTGAGAGTTAAGGTATAGTAATTTCTAATTTGTTCGTGTTTCGGTGATACAAGAGACAGAAGTTGAGAGAGAAACCAAACACGCAATTTAGCCTGGAGCGGCGCGGCGCAGAGAGCAATGATGACGAGGACTTGAGATGGAAAAGAGAAGCCCTCGACGCGCCGGTCAGCATGAAACACATATTAGCGCCTACAAGACTTCATGAATACTTCACGCATTGCGTCAAACGTAGTGCGGTCAGCAGCGGTCGGCGTGAAACGAATAGCGCCTACAAGACTGTAGAGATACTTCACGCATTGCGCCAAACACGGTGCGGTTGGCGTGGTGGCGGAAATTAAAAATATTAAACCACATTAATGTTTATTCTTTCATAATTTGTTCGTTATTTTCTTATAAATAAAAGGCTTCGTCCACACAGAGATAGGTTTACGAAACTTAATTTTCACGCAAAGTTCCGTGAACTTTAGCTAGTGTTGACAGGGTTTTCACCAAAAAATGTGTCCAACGCAAGTAAACGCGTCTTATGCACGTTCACTTGATGGTTTGTATCGATGTTTCAAAACGAACGAAAAGGGGCGGCAAAATGAAGGTGGCCCATGGGCGGCAAGTAGGTAAATCCGGCCCTGAAGACATCCCTTGCGCAGCGTGCGGAAGGTGCGTAACGGATATTCTGCCGTGCTAAGGAAAAACGCCGCGCCGTATGAACATTCAAGAGTTGCCAAATTTCTTCCCATAAAATGTTCATTCTTGAGGTATAATATTAATATTTTTCCTTGATATTTTCAGGAACTTGGGGAGAAATTGCGAATAAAATTTTCTGAAAAATTGAAAGAGAAGTATTCATAAGTTTACTAAGAAATTCGCGTGTTATCAAAGAAAATTTAGCAACGCCTAAAGGTTTATACGACGTTTTTCCTTAGCACGGCAGTATTGGAGCGGATCATCGTGTAGAGGGCAGAAGTTCATGTAAGATCCAGAACTTACTCCGGGGCCATTTATAAAATGAGTCACCCCTAAAATAAAGCGCCTTCTGATCCCTCCCCTCCCTCCATCAGCCCTGAATTTGGACGTTTTGGACTATAGGCTCTATATACAAAAACAAAATAATCATTTGCTATAAATTATCAAGATCCAAGTCGATGTTAATCCTAAAACTTCATCTGAATGCAAATTACGTGACATTCTTAACGTGCCGATTGCGCAATTTAAGATTCTCACGTCGGAATGTAATTTATGGAAAACTTCATCTGAATGCAAATTACGTGACATTCTTAACGTGCCGATTGCGCAATTTAAGATTCTCACGTCGGAATGTAATTTATGGAATGTGTATTACGGAAACCGGAAGATGCAGGCGTCGCAATCTGCCGTGCTAAGGAAAAACGTCATATGAACCTTCAGGCATTGCCAAATATCCTTTGATAAAACACGAATTTCCTGGTACATATGAATATTTTTCGTCCATTTTTCATATAATTTTATTCGCATTTCACCTTAAGTTCCTGAAAATTTCAGGGAATTATATCCATAACTTGCCTCAAAAATAACCATGTTATCGAAGGAAATTTGGCAATTCTTGAAAGTTCATATGGCGTTCTTTCTTAGGGCGGCAGCAATATCATCGATTCCATTGAACCTTATTCGCGAAGCTAATTGAATAAATATTTATTTTGCCAATCTCTTTCACTATTTCAAAATGATCGATAATTTAGAAAGTTTTTCAAGCAGACTACTTGTTCATTGTAATCGCAGTAACCTTGACATCTTATCAAATCCCAAACTACATGTATCAAAGTCCTTTTTTTGTGAGTGGTGTCATACGTCGCGTCGGACCGAATTTCTATTTTATGTTTTTTCACTTATTATTGGTGTTCGACAATTAACGTTACTCACCCAGGTTCGTCTCTACCGTCCAATCCGTTAAATATCATGGTGACAAGTCCTTGGAATGTCACGGAAAATCTGGGAAAGTTTAAGAATTTTGCTGCGGAACCTTGAAATATTTTCTTCCCGTCAAAGCATTGCTTTTTTCAATTTCAAGAGGCAGCGTGATTTAAATTTTTCTGATATTTTTTTTTTTTTTTTTTTTTTTTTTTTTTTTTTTTTTTTTTTTTTTTTTTTTTGACAAAGCGTGCCAAGAAGAAACACTGAAAATGCAGGAGAGCGTCATGCAGAAGCTCAAAATTCCTGAAAAATCAAGGAATTTTGAAATCCACTGAAACTTATCACCCTAATCATTCGTGGAACGCAATTTGAGTGGGGCGGGAATCAAATACATGCTAAATTTTCCTTGAGAAGAACAAGACGTGTAAATATCTCGTCAGAAAACGCATAACACAGCCATTGAGATGTACCCATGGGGGGAGAGGGGGGGGGCTGTAGAAATTTTGACAAAAGATCAGGCTACAAAAAATATTTAAAGTCATCCATGGAGCGGCAAAAAATCCTGCTTCAAGAGTTTTGGAATCAGAATTTAAATTGTCATGCGCCAGCCGCAACATGGCTTCAACAGCGATTTGATTACAAATTAAAGATCTGATTCTGAGCACCGCGAATCCATCTATTCAGTCGAAATAATCAAACGAAGAAAATTTTTGAGAAAAGTTTTAAAGACAACCCACCATCAATTCAAGCAAGATCTTCTTTCAAGAGAACTCTTGAACCTCCCTCCCCCGCTCCCGTGCATATTAATATCCGCCATCGAAACAGATCCTCATCCAACAGCGTCAAAATAGTCATTTTTCTCAGGAGCAAACTTCTTGGCGCAGTGCGTTATCTGGGTCATGATTGCGATACTGTTTTTTGTGGGCCTCAGACTCGCCTCCCATCAGCAGCCATCAAGTTTGCCGAATCTCGAGAAAAAACCGCCTCTTTTTCGTGGCTGGAACACGGATAGTAAATACTCGTACCGTCAATGTGGCAACATGGCAGACCCCCCGTCCGGCTCCGGTC